TTCTAGTTATACGTATATAAACTTAATATTACTATATTATTATTAATATATGAATATAAAAATAAATTAGTGAATACAAAATGAAAATGAGTAAATTACAAAGATATATAAGAAATTAGAAATTTTATGACATCCTTTTACAAAATAGAAAAAGTTATAAGATAGAAAATTAAATAAGAGAAAAAGAGATAGACAATTAAAATTATGAAATGTTTTTTATATGAACATGTTAATCACATCACCAGAATTTTTAGTGCGTATAACATTTAGAATAGAGAAAACACTTTCCTGCTGAAATTTAAAAACAACCATCAAATTTGATTATAGAATTTAAAATCACTTCTGATCTTCAAAATGAGTATAAAAAACGATTTGAGACCGCTTGTTTACATCGTACGTTAAAACACAAAAAAAAAATTTATTTTGAAGAAATAACAAAGGAATTTTTGATATTTTGAATCGAAATTTAATCAAAGAGTGCAAACAAGTAATAAAGCTCAATTGAAATTGAAGTCAACTGAAACAAAATTCAGTTACAATAGGTACTTTTCCAGAAGGCAGAACGTTATTGTAAATTACGTTATTAGAACGTTATTGTAAATAAATACCGAATGTTATTGTAAATTTCGGTTTTTTTTTTACTTCTTTTATGTGCTAATTCATTTTGTAGGAACAGGAAATTATTTAAAGTAGGTACATACATACTTAAATTGTGTGCGATTTTCATTTGTAAATGAATGAAAATGGTTTATGTGATCAATATGATCGTAAAATTGATGACGTTCCAGGAAACTCCCATAATTTAAAGTAAAAAATTACAAATATCATTCAGTAAATTTTGTTCTTATGTCGATTTAAATGATAATTCGATGTTTTTTGTTATTTTATTTGCTAGCAACAGTTTTGAATTTTTTGGTTCAAATTCTAAATACAAATATACTACATTTTGGTTGTTAGGGTTCAAGGTACGTACATATTTTCATTCTCAAATTATTCAAGTAAATCTTAAATTCTATAATCTTAGAATATAATTAACTACATATATTATATAATATTAATACTATTGAAATAATATTAATATTTATTGGGCTGCTTTTGTGTTTAATAATTTGTTATAGAGAATAAGACTTTTTTATTTCTTAAATTCTTTAAATTAAAAAATGTGAAATTTTTATTATATAACACTACTGTTTCATAATTCTATATTTTATGATTATTAATACATGCCGCGCTGCTAGAATAATGGTGATAATCAATTTAATTTATTGAGTAACAAGATATACGCACGTTAATAAAGTAAGATGACAACAATTTTAGCATTTCTGGACCACAGCGATGCTTTAAAAGAAATTATGTTTTCGAACGATTTTATGAATTTAGAATTTTATTTCTGTTATTATTTATGTAATAGTTTTCAAAAAAATATTTAATCATTATTATGACAAAATATGAAATAATAATATTATGATTCAAATACCCTATCCTGTATATGTATAATATGAAAATGAAGGAAAACAATAATTTTACTGAATGATAAGGGACTTCATTTGTATAAATGTATACAATAATTACGAAATAATTAAGTATTAAATTATAAATAAGCAATTGCTATATAAATTTCCAAGCTAACTTTATTATATATTTTATTTCTTGTATTTTCTTTTAATTAAAACTTACAATTTGCATATATTACTTCGTTTTTTTTTACAGTATTTTTGAAATTATTTAAATATAGATTATTAGATTTCTTACTTTTGAAATTTATTTTAACAAAATTCCAGTACAAGTATATATAAACAACGTATTTAATACTTTATAAATCAACATTATATATTTTTTTTTAATTTTATTAATTTTTTTTTATATTTTATAAATATTTTTTTTTCAATATTAAAGCATTTTAGATTTTAATTTTTCTGATTTTATAAAACTATAACATACAATATTTTTGGACGGAATAACTTTTAAAATTTTATTGTTAAAAATTATTATTAAGAACATAATTTATTAACCCTCTAATGCACAAGTAAAGTTTTGTTTTCGAAATTTTTGATTTCAATCAAATATTAATTTTCTCGTATCTTAATTGGTTAAAAAATATTACCAATAAAAAATCAATTGTAGTCTTAATTTTAATTACTTAAAGTTATAATTAATGTAAAAATAAATTTGAAATTAATAATTTTTGATTATTTACTTAATAAGACTATAAGGCCGCGTATATATATATATAGATGACTTGCGAATTAGAGAATTAATTTTAAGATTTATGTAATATTATAAGCAGTATTTTATATATAAGTATGTAAATTATTTGCAGCTTAAATTAAAATATATTATTATATATCTTGTAAATTTTTGAACAACACGAAAATCAATATGCAAACTATTTCGTTCAGTAAACATATTAATTTTTTTCAACAATGTAAATCACCGATAAATTTCATTTTAAGTACGATATTTGTAATTAAGTCTATTAAATTAGTGATGCCGCATTTGAAATATAAATTTATTTGAAATAATATATATGTATTAATATAGTATTTAAATGTAATAAAACCACAACTTTTATATATAATACTATAGCAATTTATGCATAGTAAAATTAACTGGGCAGTTTTCATATATACACCCATACATACATATATAATAAAATTTTACATATACAAACATACAAATATGGATAATATTCTTACTTCTTCATCATTTTTAAAATATATTTTAAAATATGTTTTAAAAAACATAAAGAAATAAGAATATTATCCATATGATAAGACCAAGACATGATATAGTTTTTGTCATTCTACTTTATTCAGCAATGTAAATTAAATTGGTAAGCTATAAGTAAATTAATAAGAGTACTGGTCTAGTCCTTGAATAAAATTCAATTGCTGAATATTCAGGAATCGAGAATAGAATTTTATACCATTTGAATTTTTTTATTTATTAATTAAATTAAATTAGAAACTTTTAATGATATATGTATGTATGTAATTTTGCAGGGTTAATAAAGCAAAAATGATTTATTAGTAAAACAATAATAATATATAGATGTATAAATTAAACAATACACTACAAACTCGGTATTTGTTTATAAAAATTTCCAAAAGAATTCGAAAACGTGCTATAAACAATGAAATCTTTCCCTTTTTCTTAATTTTAGTAATGATTACTTTTCAATTCAATTTAGTTTTTTTTACAAATAAAATATTTACAAAATATAAATGAAAAGATTTTAGTTGAAATATTTAAAATTTTAAATTTCTGAAAATTCATGAATATAAAAAGAGGGCTTATAACATCAATTTAACATTTTCCAAACTTTTGATATTATAACTGGGAAATAAAAGTTATGTAGTTTGAAAATTAATTTGCATTTAGGTAAACGGCCAAATTTTCTTTAGGTCTGTATTTATGTGTTTGTTCTACATAATGTACATTAATTAATTCAATAATTTGACCATATCACATTGATATAATTAAATAACAAAGCATTGATATAATTAACTATTTTAATTTTAGATATGAGTTTTGATACGGTCTTAGTAACTTGTATACTAGAATAACACGTTTACTTCTATATAATATTTTTGTATATAACATTTATTAAAAATTTTGTTTAAAAGGACCTAAATTCGACCCTTTAATTTAAGTAACATTTTTATTTAATATATATTTGTATTTATATATATGAATAAATTTGAATCCAGAGGAAAATAAATTTTTCTAATGACTTGTTTGCTAGAAATTTCTATTAATTTTTAATAGTTTTACACATAAATTTAAAAAATTATAATAATATTAGAATAAAAATAAAATTCGGTAAATAATTTTTGTTAATTCCTCTGGCACATACAACTAATCGAACCTGGTATTAATTTTTAGTTTTAATATTTAATCTAATCGAGTTTTATGATGAGTTTTTATATATGTATTTTAATACTTATTACTTAAGCGTGAATAGTTGATTAAATTGAGCTTTTTCATTATTTCAATAAAATTATTTCAAAAAATATTTCAGCAAATTTCTCTATCAATATTTTTGTAATGTATATATGTACATGTTATAAGAATTATGCTCAAAATTTAAATATGTATTAAAATTTGTATTTGAGTATTAAAAATAATAAATGAAAATTTGATTTAATGTTCTTAATTAACCAGTTCCAGTAAATTATTTCAACTCTTAAAAATAAATTGAAGTTAAGAAATTGATATGTATATAAGTAAGTAGATGTGAATTTGATTAGTATATACAAAAATGACGTGCATATTATATATAAAATAAAATAAATTGCAATAAATTTTTTTAAAATGTTAATTTTCTAGCATATTTTATAGATTTTATATATATATATAATTAATTTTTAAATTAAACTTAGTAAAATTAATGTAATGTATATGAAAAATATTTGTTAATATTATTATGTTCAGTGATTCATTTTTATTTTCATGATCATCATAAAAAATTAATTATAGCGTTCAGATTGGATAATCCAATAAGCACATTTGAATATTTTGAACTTGCCTCGTGGTTTGCACGATAGATGTCTTTCGATAAATTGACATGGGCAAATATAACTGGCACAATGACGTGACGGTTCTGTTATACTAACGTCAGAAAGTCCTCGTAATGCTTCATTACCCCAGCGTGACGCATATCTCAAAAATATGTTGGTTGACATTTCCTACAAACCACGATATACAAACAATAATTTGATAATTTTTTGTTTTTATTTAAAATAAAAAGAAATTCTATAATTTATTCACTTTACTTGGAATTTTTCATTTCATACATTATATTATATAATAGATATATACTTTTTTAACATATCAACAAAATTGAGTAAATATTGAAAATTTTTAATAATTATTAAAATATTGAACAAGAATCATATACATACATATATTATCTAAATTGAAATTATGTAAAATTTAAAAATTAAACTTTAATTTTAAATAGATTCATAACAAAATATCTACTATACTCAGTGCAGGAAGTGAAATAAAGGAGACTATTAATATTAAATATTAAATTAGTTCTTCATCAAAATAGCTCTATATTATTTATTTAGCATTTAAAATAATGGCTAGTTAATTTTATTGCTTTAGTTTAATTTTAAAATTTATTATTTAAGGTTTTCAACTATTTAAAACTATTTCAAAAATTAATAATAAAGTTATAAACAAATGCAAGCATAATTCCGGAACGGATATTAATTAGATCAGAAAATGATTTTAATAAATCATTGAAAGTAAACTATATAGAATCAAAGAGTGTAATTGGTCACTTTCTGCACTGATTATACAATTGGTACCCATTGGTCTTTGTCTACTACAGTATATAGTGTACATATATATTTTTATTAAATATTTAACAAAGTTTACATTTACAAATTTTAATTTAATTTTTTTTTTAATTTAACAAACACAATTGCAAGATCAAATTAGTATAGAAAACATAAAAATTTTAAATAAAAGAAATATAAAGTAACTACATCAATTATTTTAAAAACAAACATAATATTTTAACATTAATATTATTTTAATTATAAATGTTTAAAAGGATTGTGTAAACCACAACAGCATTGAGCTTTTTCTTGTTCTAGTTTTATTTTGTTATGTAGTATTTCTTCTTCATATTGACAGGGGCAAACCGATGACATCAAATGTCTTGGTTGTTCATGAACACCAGCTTCATTACATGTCCAGTCCAAACGGCGTCTTAAAAAATCTTTACCCCATCTTTGTAAATAAGTCAAAAATATTTTCTGTGCGACAGCCTATATTTGGTATATATATACACAATATTATATGCAAAACTTGTACAATATTATAATTATTATTAAAAAATATCTATATTAAATTGTGATATGTGTATGTTTTTATTATAATATGCTGGTTATAGAGAACTATAATTTAAGTTTATAAATAATTGTAAATTTTTAAAATTAATTTTAATCAAACAATATGTTTTAAACTAAAAACAATTGAAAGTATCGTCACTTTCTTTTAAAATAATCTTAGACAACAATTTTGCGATAACTAATTAAGGGATTTTAATTATGTACATATTTAAGTATACGTACCTAGGTACCTAACCTAGGTATGTAACGCACAATTTTTTTTAAAATTAATGTATTCCAAAAGTAAAATTCCTTATTTTTTTAATATATAAGTAAAAACTACAGTAAAGTTTATTAAAAAATATTTATGTATGTACCTGTTTTCTTGATAATCGTACTGGATTGCTACCTTGTATAACAATATCATTTAAATCTAAATCAAGTTTTTTTTCCCAACCAGCTTGTATACTATTACCGAGCTGTTCTTGTCTTTCAATAAATTCATTTAAATATGCGATACATTGGGCTGGATCAAAATACATAAAGCATAAATTAACTTTGTGACACGATATCCGTCCACGATCATCTAAAACCAACAAAATCTTATGTCTCAATAATTGTTTATTAACTCTGCCCAAACATTTTTCCAGCCCACGTGATAAACGTAACTTCATCCACATACATGCAAATATTGCGGCTGCATTTAAAAATAACCAAGCCACTCCTAATGCAAATAATGCGATACCTTGTAGACCAGAAAATAAAAGTACTAATAGAACACAAAAAGCAAATGTAATCCAACAGACTAGAACTCTCTTATAACAAATATTATATAGAGTGAAACGATAATCATTGACTAAAGATTCCATAGCTGACACATATTCTTCGACGGTAAGCTAAAATAAAAGATTTTTTTTATTGTTTATTTATAAATAGAAAAATATAAGATATTATAATTTTAAGCATAAAATTTAAACATTGTTAAAGCATTTTGTTTAATTTGATGAAAATTTGATGAAAATTTTTTGTGTAAAATACAATATTGATCATACAACAATCCTTCAAACAAAATCCTTCAAGAATCTGGTGTACATAGGTCTTATTCAAAAAATGTTTAACTTTTATAAAAATATTACCGTTAATCCTTGTGCCATAAGTTCTTCTGGAACTAATTCTGGCCGAAATACAGCAGGGGTTATCCATGGCCATTTTGTATTAGTTGGTAACAAATTAACAATCACATCACCATTGGCTAAAAAAGAATTATATATTTTTAGTATTAAAAATTAACCATAGCAGAACATTTTAAATAAATTTTTACCAAAACCTTCCCGTATTCTTCCAGTTGATAACTCAACAGTTCGAATTGGTGACGATGTAGGCATGGAAATTGAAACATTCTTTGGTGTATTATTCGAATTTACGGTATTGTTTCTATTGCCATCATTATTATTATGTGAATTTATATTTGAAGTATTTATTCTATCTATATTAACATGAGTACTTTCCGTTGTTAGTACTGCGACGCCTGAAGAGGAAGGAGCAGTTGATGTAACGGATCCAACCTTTATGTAAAAATAAAAGTGATTTCATTAATTTTGTAATCTGCATTATATTATAATTTATATATTGATAAGCAAATAAAAATATATAAATTTATACGTATACATATTTCTTACTTATTTTATTAATTATAAAAAAATTAAATTTTTAGTGCCTTTCCTTTAATTTTCAATAATTCGTTAAAAAAATTAACAAAGCTTAATATAATTTTATTTAAAGTATACCTATGACAATGTATATAGCAAATAAAAAGGCAAAAAAAAATATTTTTACCTAAATAAAAATAAAAAATTATGTGAAATTATCAGACATTAATTATTGTTTTTACAATCTTATAAGATTTAATTTTATGTAGAATAATATTGCTTAATATAAGTCATACCTTGCAGTTTCTTTATTACAATAAATAAAACAAAGTTACATACTTATATGTCTAAAAATAACCTACTTAATTTTTTTAGAACTTTCAGCATTATTATACGCACGTACGTATATGTTGAAAATTATTTTAAACAAAAGGTCTTTCAATAAGATTTTTCCAAATTTGAAATAAAACATAGAACAAATTGAGAAAAGAAAACATTTTAATTACAGTTTGAAATATACTCGATACAATTACGTACATATGTTTATCTAATCAAATGGTGTCCTCTGTTGCGTTTACAGAAGTTAATTCAAGTAATCTAACTGGAGGGTCACTTTATTCAATATTTGCGGCCTTATCTCAAGAATACTCATTACTCATTTATATAGATCAACAGTTTTAAATAGCTCTATAATTAGTTAAATATAAAAGAATTGATTTACATCAACTTTACGGCTGACGTTAATGACAATTTTGTATGTTGGCGCCACCACGAAGAAAATGGAGACTGATATACCAATCTGTTACATTTCAAAACATTTCTATCTAAAACCCCGTTATATAAACTTACAAATATTATACATATTATGCAGTTATACATATACTTTAAAAAAAGTAAAATCTTCTTATACACAAAGACTTCTTAAAGTTGTTAAAAATCCGAATGTACGTATTTGCATTTTAATTGCGTTGCGTCTTATTTTTAAAATGACGTACTACATATTATATGCGTGCATTTACATTATAATTATTCAAAAATTCAAAGTACATGAACCAATTTTAAATATTTACTCGTAAATGGTTATTACCTCCTATCTGAACATTAATAACAAATTTTTATAACTTTTAAACAAAAGTAAAAATTTCTTTAAAAAATATTTACATTTAAGAAATAAAAAACCTTTGTTCAAATATGTAAAATGATGATAACACTTAGTAATTTATTAATTTCACTGCATCTTCAAAAAGAAAGTAAAAAAATATGATACTTTATGACTTTTAGATTATATAGAGCATATCATGTATAATTTTAATCGTCAATTGAGACCGTAACAACTTGTTTATAGAAAAATTTTCAAATAGGTGCATTTTATTTTAAAATTTTTAAGCATGTACTTAAATGCAAATTTAATAAATTCGGAGTCAGTAATTAAGAATATTATTTATAAATGAGTAAAAAGGAAAGATTAAATCATAAAGAATTTAATAATGCTTCTATAAAATTGAAAAAATTTTTATCAAAAATAGCAATTGTTAATATAATTTGCTAATAATTTAGTTGATATTATATACCATGTTTAATGAAACTATTATATCCATTACAATTATATATAATGTACAAACACATGTACCCACACATGTTCAACAAACAATAAAGAATATATGTATATAATATTCAACAGATAATAAGCAAACAGGAAATTTCTATTTATATTTATATAATTAAAATTTACCTGTGTCAATTGTTTTAAAGCTTTTTGTGATTGTGACTTTGGGGTACTTATATTAAGCGGTGATGTTTGTGTTTTCGCCTCCAATTTTTGTATTTGTGTTGCAGGTGAATTATTATTTATAATATTATTACTATTATTAATATTATATAGAGTTGTATTTGAATTTTCATTAACATTATTTTCATTATTTTCTTCATCAAATTTAACCCATTTAGATTTATCCGTTAATTTATTTGGATAATGTACTGTTAATGATGTACTGTTAGCATTGTCATTAACTTCCAAGGTAATATTTGCATTCAATTTATTTCCATTTTGATCATCTTCCAATTTTAAATTAATTTCCGTCATATCATCATCAATTTTATCAATTGTATTGTCTAATTTTCCAATTTGGATATTGCTTAAAGGATGATCAATAGTAACATTATTGTCTATATTGTTCGCGTTTAAATTTATATTTGATACAATTGAATTATTTTGTAATGTATCCCTATTATTTTCATCAAGTGATGCACTCATTATTATTGCTTTTAATTTTAAATACCGATGAAAAAATTGAATTTAAAATTTTGGTTTGCTTTTTTTTTATTTCTGTTTAAGTTCATGAATTTCAAATGTTTATTACGCAGGTTTTGTCATAATTAATTTTTTGGCATTCTAAAAAGTCTTTTAATTGCCTTTTTCTTATCTGCATAAAATATAAAAATATTAAACGTAATTCTATTATTAATTGTCATGTTCAAATTTTACATAATGTATATATATATGCATATAAGTTAAAAAAAAGTATATAAGTACAAATATATGTATATATATGTATATATATAAATAAAAAATTTTTTTTGAATATGTATGTGAAAATTTAAAATTATTAAACATAAATTATTAAACATGTCACAGCAGTTAATCCTAGTTATATTTAATTAACAATATTTCTGTTATGTTTTTGTATTAATATATAATTTTGCCAAATTACAATATTTATAATTAAAAAAATTCTACAAAATAAATTGCTCTTTTAATTTAAAAAATAAATTTGAAAAGTCTTATTGTAATTTGTGACAGTTACATTTTAAATGCAGCATCAATTTTATTCTTTTAGCAGTTCACATCAGATCTGCATTTACACGTTTCATAACTCTGTTACGAATACTTTATTTTCCCTGTGTAATACTGTATACACAATTAACAGAATATAATATAATATATAAAAGGGGTTTAAATTATATAACTGAAATATTTAATAAATATCTTCTTAATATCTTATTATTAGAATTAATTGTTCTAACAACCCTGAATTTTTTTGTCAAATTGAAAAAAAATTTTAAGGCTTTGTTATACACATTTTATTTGTCATTCATATGGAAAGATTTTAGACCACTTCCTTTATATTATAAACTTATAGTATATGCCTTTGCCTTTAACGGAAGACAACTCTGCTTAGTAATTATTTAAGTACAATGTTAAGTGTAAAAAAAATAGAATCATATATAGAAATTTTTTTCAATCATCTACTAAAGTTCATGTACATATTTGTTTTATATGGCCTGCAAAAACTTTCCAAAAATACTTATTAATAATAATTAATATTTCACTAATAATTCAAAGCAAAACATTACTGTACATAATTAACATATGTATATATATGTATATATATATATGTGTGTATGTTTGAATATCAAAGTGCCTTTCCCTTCGTATAATAAAATAACCTTCGTAAACCTTCCTTTCGTATAATAAAATTAGAGTTTCTTACACGTATTACAAAATAATAGTAGCTTATTTTTACAATAACAATTATGTTAAAGTAAAACTAGCTAAAACTAACATTGATTTTAACTTATTTCACCTACAAACATACGTGCATACATACATATATTCTAATGTTGTTTTAAGAATCAAACTGTCAAATTAAAAACTCATAATTAGTCACTCAAATAGCAATTTAAATAGGTACCTACATATGCATGTATGTATATTGTATTTAAATCAATATTTTATTTACACAATCATTATTGAGAACCTATTCCATGCATACTCATATATATATATGTATGTACATATGTATGTTGATTATTAATATACTAACTATAAAGTAAAAGATTCGCCAAACAATAATAGTAACTTTTTAAGAAAGAATGTTAAAAATTAATATTGTGTATTATACATACTATATAAATATGTATGAAGGTGTATATAAACGAACATACAAAAATACATACAAATATAATAGTATGTAAAAATTCTTAAAGCGTTACGTATTCAAAAAAAAACATAAGAAAAAGGTGAATTTTCATAGAGAGAAAAACAAGTTTAAGTTTAAACATGTGTAAATTTTTATTAATATCGGGTTTTTAATGTTTGATAAAAAAAAAAACAAAAAACTTAATAATTTCAAAATTATATTAATTGATCTGAAATTAATTTATGTATAAATAATAATTTCAAATAACTTTTATGGAAAATTCAATAAAATTTTCAAGTATACATGCATACATACATATGTACATATACTTAAAATGTTTTAATATTCAATGAGATATTCATTAAACTTTTAAAAAATTAACTACGTGATTTAAATATTTATTATTAATTTAGTAAATTGGAGGTTTTTAAATATAGGTACATAGGTCTATAATCGAGTTTTATTATGGTTGTTTTACATACATGTAATTTAAATCACACGCATACTCACAAATATTAAAAATTTGAATACATTAAACATTATATTGTACACATTTATATATTATATTTATTGAAAATAATACATATATAATAATAATAAATATATGTATATACTTAGTTATAGTAATTTTAAATCTTTATAGTACAAATTTATAATTATAAATTAATAATATATAAATTGGTTTTTTTATTAATATATATCACATATACATATATATATATTATATACTTTTTTTTTGTATAAAACTTAGTTACTTATGCATATTTTTTATTTATACATTATTTTACAACCATAAATATATTATATATTTATATAAATATAAATGTGTATATATATACATATATTGGAAAACATACTGATCTACGTTACATAAACTTTTTATATTATTTAAAATAAAATATCATGTGTTTTCGAAAAAGATATTGCAAAATTTCTAAATTATTATTTAACGCGATTGATCCGAAGAAATTAAATATCTAAATATTTACAATGAAAATTAAAATATCACGTTTATATTATTAAGAATTTCATAAAAAAAAAAATAAAAATTAAAACAAAAAAAAAATGTTAAAATCACAGAAAAATTTAACTGTGTTTTTTTTTTTTTATTATTTTTTCGAAATACGTTGTAACTTTGACAACGGCACACCCCGAACTATTTGAGTATATTATTTACGTACTTAAAAACTAAATAAAAATTGAATAAAAAATAAGAAACAAAAGAAAATACGAAAAAAAAATAACGTCCAACTTTTAATTTGAGAAATTTTAACCATAATATTATTTACCGGCCAAATAATATACATACATACTAATAATAATTTTTACCTTAAAAATAAAAAAAAAAATATAAAAAATGTATGAATGTATTGAAAAAGAATGAAAAACAAAAATGACTGTAAGGTATTTTATGCATGGAAGTAAACTTTTTTCTTTTTTTCTTTTTTTGTTTTACTACATATTTTTGATAACTCTCTTTTTTTTTTTATTCTCAATTTTTATAACATTGCATACGTGTATGTTTTTTACCTTTAGTTCATGGATACAAAATGTTTTTAACTCATTTAGTTTAGTTTCCTATATAGGTAATTTTATAAATGTACGTTAAATATATATGTATGTAAGTAAAATAGGTTCTTAAGGTTAAGTATTGTATTAAAATTTCTTATTTAAAGTTAGATTTTGAAAAAAAAAAAACACGACTTTTCGTCAGCATCGGAAATTAAATTTAGTTCTAGAATAGTTTTAACTTGTAGAACTTTCAAAAATTGTTCGCTGCACAAACTGAAGCATAATGTAGATCATTCGCAAATTACTGGCTATAATAAAATGCGTTTGAAAATTGATTTTGTATAAAAAAATGTCAGAAATATAGCGCAGCCATAGTTTGAGCATAAGACATTAGCCTTTGTTTCATTTAAATTTCAATTTCAAAATTTTTAATTTTCATAACCATGTCATTTTCGAACTACTGAATTTGCAGACTGCGAAAACATAAAAAACTTAGCTGATTTTTTGGCCCACCGTTTAACGTTGCGCTACTTTAAAAATATAAGTTCTAATGTAAATGTTTCAGCAGTCAAATTATTTTTTATCACTTATTCTATAGTGGAGTAATTCAATACCACATCAGTAAAATCATTTTCAAAACTAACAATTTATTCTTAAAAAATAAGTATGTAAACACTAATGAATCTGCAACACGAAGTCATTTTTAAAGAAAACAGGTTAACTATATAATATTTAAAGTATTATTTTATCTAATAAAACAATTTTTATTTCTGTTATAGCAGAAATAAAATTACAATACAAATAAATTTTTTTAATTTTTATAATTTTCTCTTTCCGCGAGAATGAAGGTTGTTGATATTGTATGTGTTTTTTATATAAAATAAAATGTTTTAATCATTATAACTTTTATCAAGTTATACGATTTTTTCAATACCTACCTATTTCTTATTTGTAAATTTATATTTTGTTATAATAATTGTTATGTATGTCTTTATATAATAAAACCATAATATTATTAGTATTATTCTTTAACTACACATTTTTGTGATAACGGAATGAAAGATTTATTTTAAATAAAATGCTTTAATCCTTTATTTTAAAAACATAATTTTGTATTGAAATCTATGATTATTATTTTTTGAAAAATAAGGCCGATTTTAATAAAGAAAAGAAAATTTTTCAGAAATTTCTATTGTATAAGAATTTTAGTGTAAATATTGTCATTTATTCCTTTATATTACGCATCATACTCTCAAAACCGTTTAGATAATATGGAACATTTATTGATAACTACATTTTAAAAATGAATTCCAAATTTATTATTATTTATTATTTATAAGAATTTTTAATATTTTAATAACATATGAAGTGTTTTAACAAATCAATTCTTAACATTGAATTTAGCAAGGTTTTAAAATTTTTAAAAGCTTGCTTTAAACTTTAAGAGTTGCATTTTTGGAAGACTTCTAGGTATTTATATGTTATTTTGTCTAGGCTTGCAGCTACATGATGTAGACAGACCAACATTTCTTAGAAAATATAAATATTCATAAAAAATTGAAAAAGAAAATTTTATTTTTCGTAACGAAATCTGCCAAAAAATCAATGTATGTGTGCTATTTCTTATCAGCCCCAGTAGTTTAAAATTAATAATGAAACTATGTGTTTTGTTTTAAAATTAAATTTTTTTTTAATAGCATTTAATTTAATTACTTTTTTGATTATTTTTTCAAAAATGTGCTACTAATTGAAACAAATGTTTGTAATTACACAAATATAACACAAATTAAAAATTCACGAAAATTAATTTAAGAAAAAATTAATTTTTAGAACATAATATCTATTAAACAAAAAAGATAAAAATCTTAACCAATATTATTCTATTTACACGTCCACTTAAAGTTCAGATTCTATTACATCCGCTTAAAGTTCTAAGTTATTTCTTAAAAAACTTTTTATCATAATTACAGATCTTCAAGAACCAAAAATTTTAATAATTAAATACATATTTTTATAAAATTTAATAGCATTGCTAGTAAATAAAATAACCTTATAAAATCTCTTAGAACTTTAAACATTCTACTATTTTCCAAAGCGTTTCTTTTGTAACAGAAATTTATCGAACATGCTAGATTTATACATACATATGTATCTAGATTTTGTAATTTTGATTTTATTTACAAAACAAAATAGATAACAAAATGGTATGTACATAAATGTAAGCAATTTTAATTACAATCTGAAATCCCCCCATTGGTAATGGAAAATACACATTTCTTATTGCTTTCTATTTCGGGACAGTATATCACTTCGAATGTCCTGGTAACTTTTGAATTGCAAACTTTTTCGTCCTTTTGAAACTTCTCAATTTTGATTCGGCAACGCACTTGATTACTCCAAGTTAATCCTAAACATGGAATTAAACAATCGTCAACTGAAGCAACCTTAAAATAATTGATACTTGATTTTGTGAATAATTTCAGCAACAAATACTGTGGATACCCACTTGATTCGAGCAAACAACAACACAATTATACTTTTGAACTATTTCTGTTAACCTATGACCTAATAAAGTTAATTTAGCAGCTCTTTCTGAATACTCGGTTTCCATTCGGAATATGGATCCGATTGAGTCAATTACAATAATTCCTATTGGATTAGTTTCTAATATTTTAAGCAATTGATTCGATAAACAGCTCATTAACATATCCTAAAAATATTATTCGATATTATATCCTAAAAATATTAACAAATGTATGTATGAACATATCTTGAAATATTATATTCTTATTGTAAGAAACGAAACAAGTGATAGTGATATCATAAAAATTTTAAAAATTTGTTGTAAACACAAACCTTTTGAATAATTTCATTTGTTGACAGTGCAATGTCTGACATTTAAGATAAAAAAGATACATATATCACTATCTCTTATTGATTCGATTCTAAAAGATAAGTCGTTTCTAACGATTAATGATTTGATTCCCCATTAAATATAATTAAAATAACGGTACTGTTTTCCCGTCACAAATATTTACCGTATTTTTTATAAGTTGAATAAAAATTCCATCTAAGAAATCTTCTGTTATCATTTGATATTTTTGCGCATATTGAGTAGCTATTTGGGTAAGACGGATAGTAGGAAATTTTCCTTCAGTGTAAATCAGAACTGCTTTTTTCTGAAACCCTCCATTTTTCTCAGGCAACTGAACGGTTAAGCATAATTGCATCAAAATTTGTGATTTACCGGTACCTGCTTCTCCATATATTTCAGTTATTCCACGTGTAACAATTCCTCCGTTTGTGCAATTGTCTATAGAATGACATCCGAAAGACAGTTTACTCCAACGTGTCGAGAAAGGATGTTGCAAAAGATTATCAGCTAAACAAACGATATTAAATAAAATAAAATAGCAAGCCTTTAAAAAAATATGCAAGCCTATTAAAATGTTCAAGTAAATTTTTTTTTTTTGTTGCTAGTTTATACTTTCTTCGCAAAGCGAAGCGTAGTCTGTTGTGTTAACTAATCTTGGTTCAATTAAGTATTATGTAAATTGAATGTAAGTGAATGCGGCATGCTATTACCGAAATCAGTTGCTCTATGTATTTTATAAGTTCAATACAAAATGTTAACGTACGACAATCGCGAAAGGTGTGAATTTTCAATTTAAAGCGACCGGCGTTGGGACTAAAATAAAAAGTAAATATTGGCGGCATGCCAAAATTGATGTATGGAATTTTTGAGTTTTCCATTTAATTTATAACTGACTGTTAAGTGTTAATGTAAAATCGAATGAATACTTTTCTTTAGTCAGCTTTTTTTCCATACAATCACGGATATGACAATAATGCAAATTTAGACTCTACGAGAAAATGAGTAGTTCAAAATATTTTTGCATAAAATTTACAAATAGGTACCAATCACACAAAATAACCACAATGGGTTGTTGAATAGAGTCGTATATTTTTGCACCATGGTATGTATTATATACATATATATATATTATATATGGGTGTGTATATCTTTTGTACATACATACATATATGAATGCAGTATATAAAAATATTTTTAATGCTAATCAATAATATTATTGAAACATAAACGAAAAACACTTTTAAACTTAAATTGAAACAATAATATTGTAATATTTACATAATCTAAAAATTTGAAAACAAATCTATAAATATTTAATTATAATAATACCTCTTAGAAACATTTTAAAACCGCTAAAAAATTAAGCTTCATATTTTATATTGGCATCAAGCAAAATAAACAAACATAAATAAATTAGTACATACGTCTACACAGTGTTACCAAAGACAAAGTTTAGTACAAACAACAAAATAAAATATTACATGGAAGTAGTAAGCACCTCAACCAGTACGTAGTATGTGCCATAATAATAGATTACATCACAACACTGCTGCATATTTCAACACCTTTACGATTATATGATTGAATGTTATATTTTCTAAACAGTCATCATATTCCGCGCATACTTCATGTATTTTGATTATTTTTCTAACAAAAAATTAAAAAACATAGATAGTTATAATTATTTCTTTAAAGCAAAATATTCACACTTACATTAAGTCGCTTCACGAGACAAAAATTAAAAAATAACTCAGTTAAATATTAATTCGTGACAATTAGCCGAATTTTTTTTATTAGTTTGTAAGGCTGGTTAGAATTCTCTTCCGTATAAAAATAAAATTGAAAAAAAAATATCATGTAAAGAAAAGAGTTTTATTCGTCTTGCTTTTATCTGATAAATGTCAAATAATTAATTTATTAAATAATAATAAGCCTTGAGAGAAGGTTTGAAATTACTTACATATATAAAAAAAAGAATTGACTTATTTTTTGACAACGTCAAGGTATATGTTAAAATACTCGTATTTGTTTGCTTTGTTTTTTGTTTTTAGTAGCAATAAGTTATGCTTTTAAATTATACTTACAGAAAAATTCGATAAAGAAATATATAAATTTAAATTTTCGAAATGATATGCCACATAATATATTCGGACTTTAAGAATATTTCACTTAATATCCTCCACCATTTGAGTTATGATGATTATTTGATAATTGAAAATTGAGTCTATTCTACAAAATTTAGTTTGAAAATAACCAGAAAATCAACCTATAATTATTATTAATTTTTTTATTAGCAAAGTGAAATGTGTCAAACTTTTAAAATTGACATAAATTGACTGTTTTCACACTACAGCAAGGTATTTTCAAAAACACCTAAAACGTCAGAAAATCAATTTTAATGTTCAAATCGAAATCACAAAGAATCGAGCTTGTTATAGCTCAAAATTCATTTTAAAAATTTTTTAATGGCACAAAATACATTTAAATAATAAAACTTTACATAATATAAAATATCTACAAGATTTGTTGATTTGAAAAAAATTTTTTTAATATTGAAAAATTTATGCTGACCGAATAAAAATTTGAAAATATCTGAATTCGTGTATGATAGCATTGAGTGCATTTTTGACGAAATATACGCTGGAAATAATGAGTAACCTAAGTGCTAATCAAAATGCAAATATAGGAAATTGCGGAGGACAAAATGGACAAAATCCTGAAGGAAGTAGTAGCCTTGAAAGAGGCAGGCAAGTACTCTAGAAATAAAAATATACATTTTAACAAAGTGATCCGCCATATTTTTTTTCATTACTGCAAATTATGTATCCATTAAATAATACACACAGATTAACGTATGTAAACAGATGATTTTATGCATTAAGTAACTATAAAATCACCATTTCAATAATTTTTATGTAATTAGGTACATGTATATTTTATGAAACATAAAAAATTAATATTGTTAATAATTAACAGCTAGGTATTTAAAAAAAATTATATATAGATAAATTATATACATATGAACATACATAATATGTACTTAAAGTATAAAAATAAAAATAATTTCATATAAACTACTAGGTATATTTGTAAATAGAATGGTAAATATTTACTTGGCATTTTGTTTTACAAAAGTTTTCGGGATTTGTAATTAGTATTAAATAATTCAATTTCATAAATTTTCACGTAACATCACAATGTTAAAATAGCAATTATTAAATTTTGTTACCAATAAAGCAATTGGGTTTTCTCTGTAGGATGTTTGTAAAGTAGATATGTATATACATTTTTTATTTTGTATTAGCATATACATATGTAAATGGCTTTATAAATAAATAGATACATACACATATTAAACACTTGCATTTTAACCAGTTTTCAATTAATTGATTTTAATAAAGTAGGATTTAGTTAAAGTATTTTATGAAGCTTTCTACAAAATAAATATCTCTAGATACAATATGTTTGTACACATCAACCATTTTAATTTTAATTAAATTGTTAATGTAGGCAGGTAGCTAGGTATCTACAAAAATTTTTATTGTTTGTTATTATCTGTGTAGGTGCTATATAGAAAACGACGTAAATATTTGAAAAAATAAATTGAAATTAAATTTTTATTTTCTTATTATAATCAGATCTGACGTGTGATTCTTCCATTTGAAACGAAGAATAATGTTAATTTCAAAATATTAAAATGTTTTGCGTTGTTTATTTTTCTTTGACTTCACGAAAATCTGCTGAATCATTTAAATTCATTTGTTATTATGCAAGCACAGGTATGTATGTGTATACCAAGAAACTATATGTATATGAATTATTATATATGTATCTTGAAAAATATTGCTCGGACAATACTTTGGCGTCATATAAATTCTGAACATAACACATCGCCGACTTTTTTGTTCATATTTTAGAAGATGATACAATGTATCTGATACATCTTTGATGCCATTTTAAAGATAACCTATGTTACGATTAATATTTCCAATCAAAATTTTAAATTTTCTAGTCACAGATTTATGACAAAAACTAAATTCTATATAATCTACCTAACTTTTGTACAATATTCGTCTCTTGTAAAGACTTGAGTCCAATTTGATTCTGTTAAAAGAAAATAATTTTCATTTTCGATTCATACCATAAAATTTTGGTTAAAACATTAACAAATCCACCCAAGATTATTTATTTTTAGGTACATTTTACACGATAGTTTATAACCATAAAAATTTTATCAAGGATGTCGTGGTAAGAGCAGGTTAGATGTTTACCACTTTTACTTTATCATATTGTATCTACAATATGTGATTAAATTAATCGAACGCATATAATTTTAAGTAGGTGTATTTAATATTGTATATTAAGGTTCCAGATAAATTTTGTTCAATAATGAAAATAACTTTTTTTTTTTAAATAAATAAGTACTATTTTTCCGCGCACTTTGTTCAAAAAATATAATCTGATTAATTCAAAATGGATTTTTTTTTTTTTGTGTAATTTAAATAATTTCATGTTTATATTCTGTTTTCAGTTGCTTGTTGCGATATGCAAGTCAAAATTCACTTGACGAAAGTTCTCAGAAACATATCCAACGGCCCAATGGAAAAGATCGATCAACAGGCGCATACAGAAACAATCAGCATACATCAAAATCATTCGAAACAATGAACGAAATGAGAAAGTAATTATTATTTTCGATACTTGTATTATGTTATATTGAGATAATTAATCTTTACCATTTGGTCAGATCATTGATAAAAATTAATTTCGAAATGATATTAAATATTTGATCTAGGTACTTCATAATTTAATTGAAATAATTTTGTAAATGCAATTTTGGGTTTACATATCACTATGCATTAAACAAAATTTTTTTGAAATCTTTGTTTAGATATTGTAAGAAAATAATGTAGATTAAAGTTTCATAAATTTAATTTCGTAAAGAATTCAACAACAATTTTGGTAAGCATTTTTTATAAGACAACAATGGAATATTGATATTGAACCCACTTTTTTCTATTTAAATATTTCCTATTATTTGAAAAATTGTCACTTAAGCTTCTGTGCTACTGCTACAAGTTATTTGTTACTATTTCAATCATTTAAATTAAAAAAATAACCATCCTTATCTTTTACTTCTTATAAATAGTTCCTGTAAAACAGTGATATCAAAAGATTTCAATTATTATTAATACTTTATGTCTTTTTGATTGTCTAACGCGTTCTAACAGATATGTTTTTATAAAAGTTATCCGGTAGTAAAAAGTAAAATATGATGTGTTTTTAGGCAAAATCTTCTTTGTGATGTTACCCTTATAGCCGATGGAATGGAAATTTCAGCTCACAAAATGGTATTAGCGTCTTGTAGTCCATACTTTTACGCAATGTTTACGGGATTTGAGGAGTCTCGACAGGATCGAATAACTCTACAAGGTGTTGATTATCACGCATTAGAATTACTAATTGAATATGTTTACACTTCTGTGGTTGAGGTAAATGAGGATAATGTTCAAGTTTTATTGACTGCCGCAAATCTTTTACAATTAACGGATGTCAGAGAAGCTTGCTGTGACTATCTTCAAACCCAATTAGATGCATCAAATGCTTTGGGTATACGAGAATTTGCTGATATACATGGTTGTATCGACCTTTTTAATTATGCTGATACATATATTGAACAACATTTTAGGTAAATTTATTTTTAAAGTTCCATAAAAACCAATTGCGCTCCAAGTTAATTATTTCCAACAGTGATGTAATAATGTATGAAGAATTTCTGAATTTAAATCATGAACAAGTTGTTAGCTTAATAAAAAATGATCGCATATCTGTTAAAAATGAAGAACAAGTATATGAATCTGTTATTGCCTGGATAAAACATGACCCACAAACACGCGATTTATTTACAGCGGACATCATGGAACATGTTAGGTTGCCGTTTCTTTCCAAAGAATATCTAGCACAAAGAGTTGATAAAGAGCCATTGTTAGAAGGAAATATTTTTTGTAAAAATTTAATAATAGAGGCTTTAACGTATCACTTGCTACCTAATGAAACTAAAAGTGCTCGAACTGTTCCAAGAAAACCTGTAGGTCTGCCAAAAATTTTGCTCGTTATTGGTGGACAGGCTCCAAAAGCTATACGAAGTGTAGAATGTTACGACTTGCGAGAAGAACGTTGGTATCAAGCGGCTGAAATGCCGAACAGAAGATGCAGGTAATTTATTATACATATTACATTAAATCAATATATATAAAAAAAAAACTATAAATCATTCTTGTTTTCAGGGCTGGTTTATCAGTCCTTGGTGATAAGGTGTATGCAGTGGGAGGCTTTAACGGTTCACTACGCGTTCGGACTGTTGATGTTTATGATCCTAACAATGACACTTGGACAACCTGTAATAGTATGGAAGCAAGGCGATCCACTTTAGGTGTTGCTGTATTAAATGGATGTATATATGCAGTTGGGGGATTTGACGGCTCAAATGGTCTAAATTCAGCTGAAATGTATGACCCGAAAATACAAGAATGGCAATTTATAGCATCGATGTCGACTAGACGTAGTTCTGTTGGAGTAGGAGTTGTAAACGCATTGCTTTACGCGGTAGGGGGCTATGACGGGGCTTCTCGGCAATGTTTGGCTTCCGTTGAAAAATATGATCCACACACTAATTTATGGAGTCCGGTAGCTGATATGAGCGCACGCAGAAGTGGTGCAGGTGTTGGTGTGTTAAATAACATTTTGTATGCAGTTGGAGGCCACGATGGGCCAATGGTCCGAAAATCGGTTGAAGCCTATGACCCGGAAACAAATTCATGGAAATCAGTATGCGATATGGCTTATTGTCGAAGAAATGCTGGAGTTGTAGCCCATGATGGATTATTATATGTTGTCGGAGGAGATGATGGAACTTCTAACTTAGCTTCAGTCGAAGTATGAAAACTTGAGACTTTAAAAAGTATTTGAATAAAATTTCTAAATTACTTCAAACTCCTTTAGGTTTATAGCCCCGAAACAGATTCATGGCGAATTCTTCCAGCAGCAATGACAATAGGGCGAAGTTATGCTGGAGTATGTATGATAGACAAGCCCATGTGAATAGAACAGCAGGGTGCGATAGCACGGTAAGTACAAATTTCACAGTTTTCTACGTATTTTAATTTAATAATTTGTATGAACATAATGTATAAAATGAAATTTTTTTAATTTTAAAGTTAAATTGTATTTTAATTGCAATCAATTTTAAAACAAAGGTCAGCAGCATTAACAGCAAATAATGGAGTAGAAGATGAAAATAGTCAGGCTGAAGGTACGGCGGAAACTGGTGCTGTAGGAGGAGTCCAAGTAAATCAATTTTTGCAAAATTTACAAAGACCGGATAATAATATTGCTAACAATGTTTCTCAACAACAGCCCCAAGCTAATATTCCTCACTATGAAAACATATACGAATCTATAGAAAATTATCCAGCCGGAAACAATCAAGCTGTGAACCCTTCCATAGATAACAACATCAGTAATATGAACAACAACCATGTAAATAATAATGATAACAACAATATTAATAATAATTCTGCTTCTGCTGCTGCCGCAATCGCCCCTGCCGATCAACTCGTTAATCAAGCCGGTGTCTCCAACAATTCTGGAGCTGTTCCAATGGAAAACAGAGCTGCACAATCGATTCGAAACAACAATTTGAATTTACAATTTCGAAATGATCTTTACGATAGAGTTAATAATTCTTCAGCATATGATGTCCCGCGTTCTGTTAGAAGTAGTTTGGGGATGAGGCGAAGTAATTTGCAGCTAGATTTGCATGCTGCAAACCGTTTACGATGTCCGAATGGTAATAAGAGTTTGGGTATTAATATGATACGAGAAAATAACAGTAATGTAATGTGCCGTCAACGTTCTTTTGATGACACTGAATCACATCATTACTATAATTTAAACTACGGTTCAAATTCAGCAATGCGATATGAAAATATTTACGAACAAATTCACGATGAACCATTATATAGAAACAGTGCAGTCAATGGAAACTCTACAAATTCTCGATTATACGGACGTTTGAACGTTATTGGGCATGGTATTGGTAGAATTGAGCGTCACCTGAGCTCGTCATGTGGGAACATAGATCACTATAATTTAGGAGGTCATTATGCTGTTTTAGGACATTCTCACTTTGGAACAGTTGGTCATATTAGACTAAATACTAATGGGAATGGTATAAACAGTAATGGTTTTATGACTAATCAGACCATGAATTCAAACGGAAATCACCCTAAAGATAATTATGTAAAGACAAGTACTTCTTCGTTTTTTAGTTGTTTGGGCGGTGAAAACTCTCAATCAATGAATAACATATATCGTTCAACTTCTGCCAATAATAGTAATTCTACAAGCACTACGAATTCTTATTTATCTTCTTCAATTAATTCAAGTAGATCAAATACACCAAATTTAAGCAGTGGAAGTAGCATTTCGAGAAATACTGGTGCTATACCGAAAACTAAACTTGGGAAAATACCTAGTGTGAATTCGAATATTTCTGTTACATCCACCCAAAGCACAACAAAACAAACAGGAAAAGCACCAACACAAACAACACAAAATTCAATTCACAATCCTGAACATTCAAGCACATTAAATCGTATATCAAAATCATCTTTACAATGGCTTTTAGTTAATAAATGGCTACCACTTTGGATGGGCCAGGGACCTGATTGTAAAGTAATTGATTTTAATTTTATGTTTTCGCGCAATTGCGATGGCTGCGAATATAATTCCGCACAAAAAACGCTTGTTAATCCAAACGCATTTCAACATCAAGATATTATTAAATACAATGGAAAGCAACATGAAATATTTTCTGGAAATACAACGACCACCAGGCGTGGTTGTTCTTTAAATACAATTCGTCCACTGCCAAATAATTTATCCAGATTACGAGAATCCGAATGTGGATTCAATTCTCTGCGAAAAAATGGTTGCACCACTGAAGAAAATAATTATGAAAATGTTCATGTCCATTTCCATAACGGTTTTGAATTCGGAAAATCACGAGAAAATTATGATTACGTGAAACCTCCAATGTTAAGAGCAAGAAGTGAGAGTCCAACATTCACCCAAAGGGTTTGTGGAAAGCATGCACATATTGAATATTCGGATCCATTCAAAAATTATGAATTAAATGCGGAAAATAACACTTTTAAACCACAAAAGAAGGAATCTAATATTCATCATAGAACTGGAAAATTTAAAGTTAATGAAGGTGCCTCAACCTCAAATGGATTGTCACCAATTGTAAAAAAAGAATCAGTAAAATACAGTAATGGAATTAAAGTTGAGGCTTCAAATAATTTTGATCGTAAATTGGGTAATATAATAAATGACAATAAGAAACAAATAAATAACGATTTCAATGAACCAAAATCACATAATAACGAAAACAACGACGATAAAAATATTAAGTCAAATTTGAAGGAAATGGATAATGATATTACTGCTGGAAGTACAGCGTCACCAGAATTTATATACAACGAAGGTTTTGATGAAGATTCTGATACTTATGAAGATTTTGACAGTTTAAAAGATGGAAATAATATGTCTGTGGTGCATAATGATAATGATAACAAACCGCAAAATAAATCTGAGACGGCTAATATGAGAGAAACATTGCCAACAAAGGAAGAGACTGAAAATATTGATAAGATTGATGATAATTTTTAAAGTATAATCGAACTCGTTATTTATTTTATTGATACAATAATAATCAAAAAATTTAATTAAAAATTATTCGCAATAGTAATATTATTTTTAAATTTTGTTTGATTAATTTATTTCCGTGAAAAAATTTTTTATAAATATGCATGTATTCATTAAAAATTTTAAAGCACAAAATATAATATTCGAATAATGAAAATGAAAAAAAGAATTCGATACGAAAAAAAACTTTTCGATGAATAATAATTTTTTTTTCCATTTGGTCATTTTTACAAGTTTGAAAGGAAAAATAATAATATTAAATTTACAGTATTCATATATACATTTTAAATGCTTACAATTTTAAACCTAGTTTTAAATATAAAATTTGTTTGTTTGAATTTTTGCAAATTGGATTAATAATTAAAATTTAGATCCTAAACAATTCATTAACAATTAAAAAGGAATCTTGGAAAATTTTTATAAAACCATTATACAAAAATGACAATTATATGTCTGTCTATATTTTTTAAAAGAAATTTTGTAATGAATTCAAATATATAATTAAGTTTGTGCTTTGTTTTTCTTTCTTTTTTTTTTGTTAGTAGAGTAGTTGTTCCTCAATATGTTAAGACTTGAACAAATTTACCATTTAACATTTAATTTGTGATAAAAAAAATTATTAGTTTAAAGTTTAATAATGTATTTAATTTTATACTAAAAATTTCATATTATAATGCAGTTGGATTATTTTGGAAATTAAGGGTTTTTAATTTTACAAAAAAAAAAAAATCAAAAATTTAATTAGGACTAATATTTATAATTAGGAAAATAAAAAAACTTGTGTTTGTAGCATAAGACATTTTTTTTTTGCATTTCCTTCCTTCCAGGTCTTGTGAAATTGAGATCACTTCAAATGCATTTTTCGCTCCAATCCGAAGGCTAGTGTTTTGCTTTGATTGGGTATTTTAAAACATTAAGGGCCTGATCGTCTATCTCGTTATTTTACTCGGAAAGTAAGAAGAAAGTGAGTAACCATCATATACTCGTATAATGTAATTGCATTTTTCTAAAATGCATAGAAAATTAATTCACTTTGTTGTTTAAAGTGAGACGTTCAGTCGATATTTAGAGAACTAACTCAAAAGTCCAATTGAAAAAATGAGCAATTCTTATTGGAAAAATAAAATATCCATTAGAAAATACAGAGGATTCTGACATGAAAGTGAACAAGCAGTGAGTAAAAAAGCGAGATAAACGATCAGGCGTAAGACTGCAATGAAAACTGTAAAATTTGAGAACTGCAAAAATGTGGATATACTGTATTATTGATTTCATTTCTGCATTGCTTATTTTTTGTGCTTATATCTCGTATAAATTGGATCTACCCAAATAACACATTTTCATATACTTTACATACTGGATTTATTATTACTCTAATAATGCTTTATTTGAATTTAAACTGTTAAAAATTTAAATATAAACGTTAAATAAAAAGAAATGTATAATTAAAATTTAGTATAAATTTTAAAAAAAATTGATGTTACAAAAAGAAAGCAAAGTGCTTTAAAGGGTTTGTGTCTGGGATGTAAAACTTTGATATTCTTGTGGTAAAAAGCTGTCATTTTCACAAACAAATAAAAATAATATTATTGTTCGCATCTCAGTTTGTATGAGATGAGGACACGACTGACAGAAATAATGATTTTTTGTAATGTCATGGATAAGGGTGATAATTAATTGAAGAAAATTTTCGGCAATGCACAAATAATAAGCCTTCATGCTAGGTTTCAAATAACTTTATTTAAAAAATCTCATGTTTTGACGACATCAAAGTATATATTGAAATTAACACATAATGTCAAAAAATTTTCACTAATTTAACTGAGTTAAAATTTAATTAGATCTCGCGACTTCATAATCGGAATCTATAACCACATAAATATATAATTAAAAAACTGGAAATCTGATTGAAAGCATTTTTCAATTCCAATTCACAATTTCTGCTATATTAGTACAAATAATTGTCACTAAGCATCAAATTAATATTAATAACTGACACCAGATGATCATCAACAATGTTTTAACACGAAGCATGTGTACTTTTTTTGGTATGGTAACTACATACTTGCGTTGTCATATAACCAATTTTGAAATTTGTATAAAAGTAGGAAAAATATGAAATTTCAATGTGTTCTTTTAATTTTGTGAAATCGAGTGTAACGTAACAAGCACTTTATAATAATTTTATGTTATTTAATTTTTTTCAGGAACAAGCTCATAAAAACGGCACACACAATTGATTTTTGATCGAAAATATCTTGAAATCCCTTTTTTGTTTCTATTTGATTTTACTTTTAAGTTCAAAGAAATAAATTATTAATAATTTTGAGTTTGTGATTGGTTGAATTTTGTGTTTACACCTAACCCATTTTTGCTAAAATTTGAATGTAATTTAAAATAATACAAATAATAGAATAAAATAAAAAGAATAATAGAATGTATTTTTGTAAGAATTTGAATAATTTTATAATACATTTAAATTTTTACAAAAATAAGAATGTATAAATTAGAAATGTTTGATAACGCAAAATTTAGTGTCAAACATTTCTAATTTATGTATGTACGTATATGTAGCTGAAATGATATTTTTTTTTGAAATGTAAAATTTTATTCCAACAGAATGGAAAAATTTTTCAAATATTTCAATTAAATGAATATACCATCATTGAAGTTTTTTAAAGCATTCTTATTCTTGCACTATTTCTTTAGCGTCGAATTTTAATTCGAATAAATTCTTAGCATTTTGAATACTTAGAAAGTAGACTTTTTTTATCTTCGTCTGACATACAAAATCTATCGCGTTATGCGATGAACACCGTATGAAAAGGGATGAAATTGATTAAAAGGCGTTAACATATTTATTCACGTTTATGAAAAAACAAAATTTTTAAAGGATCAATTTAACACCAGACAGCAGTTTTTTAACAGTTGTTTAATTTGTAGATTAATTTCTACGCAACTTCTTCCAATGGACTTGACATTATGTTAGTTCGCTTAATTTCTTAATTTATTATAAGTATTTTAAAAACCTAAAAATCAAAACAAAATTAAATTTTCAAAATGATTTATTTTATATTTATTTAGCTTCTACAGTAAATTTACAGTACTTTGACTTTGTGTTGATATTACAATCTAATGCTAATTACAATCATTAAATGCGTAAACCTGATTTTTCATTTAGAATAGGTTGACGTGGCAAAATTAACCTACATATTTTGATTTTGATTATGTATATATGTATGTATTTTATATTTATGCTATTTTAGTACATAAGGGTTGCTATTTAAACACAATATTTAATTTATGTTAAATACATTTTAAATAATTAAGGGTTTCGGTAGAATTTTGTTATGTATGACATAATACATGCATGTGTACATATACTTATGTATCACTAAAATATGAAATAATGAAACAAAAAAGTATTTAAAAAAAATTTACAGAAAATGGAAACTGAATTAAACTCTTTTTCCTTTTTTTTTCAATATTAAAACAGAAAGCAAATAATATTCAATTATTATTTATTTTATCTTCTTTTCATTTACAATAAAAAATTTTTCATATAAAATCAACCTTATCAAGAAATAATTATTCCTTCATTTTTATGCTACGAAATAAAGAAAACATAAGAAAATCAACAATTTTTTTTTTGTAACAATTTTTTTTCTTTTAAATTAATAGCATTGATTTTAAAAAAAATTATGAAAAAGTATTAAAACATACTTTGTCTTGTTGATTCATACATATACTATTAATAGATAAAAAATAATCCTAAAAATTTAAATTACGTCCCTATGTTCTAATACTAACTAGCATTATAAATAGTTGTCATTTTTAATCAATAAAGTTTCCCGTAGTTAACATGTTAATGCCTATCAAATAACTTTGATCAGTTTTTCTTCCTATTTAATAGTTGAAAAATTTACCTTTTTTTTTCTTTTTTTTTTTTTTTTGATTTTGTACTTATTAAACATAATTTTTCTCTTCAAAACTTACAAATTCATAATAGACATTAGAGCTTTGTTAATTCCATTTGACGATATAAAATTGCATAATTAAAAATGGCTTTTGTATCACAGCTGTAGAATATTTTTGTATAATTCAAGTTCGAATCTCTAATATATTCCAGCATTGTAAAACTTTTTACTCATGAAAGCCTTACATAATTTAAGTGCTTGCCAGAAATTAAAATTCGATCAACTTACGCTTCATCATCTTCATCATCATCACTATCTGATGAGGAAAATCTATGTTATATTCTTTGATTATTACCAGGATGTATATAGTTGCATTTATTTCCGTTACGACAAAAGCCACGTAAAAATTGCTTGCAAACAGAACGATTCGCGTTACCGTGAACCCAATTACTACGATCATTATTTCTATTATTGCCTCGATCATTATTATTTGATCTCCAATTGCCACTATTATTATTATTTAAACCTCCTGCTGAACGCCAATTTCCTCCAGAATTTTGATTTCTGTTTCCTCCTCCCATTTGATTGTGCATTGGTCCATTGTGCATAGCATTCATGTTCATACGTTGTTGTTGCTGCTGTTGAATACCATTAGGGCCAAATATTGAAGATAATAAATTTTGTGGTGAACCATTCATTCCATTAGGTGGGGGTCCGTTTGGCCCAAAAGGTAAAATATTATGCGGCATATTAAATGGTCCATTATTAATTGGTCCTAAAGGTGCTGTTGCCATCAAAGGAGGTGGACCGTTCATATTCCCGGCCATAGGGCCATTCATTGCAGCAGCTACATTCGACCTTAACATGTTAATATTATTGACATTATTTAGATTATTCATATTATTAGGCGGTAAAATATTGTTAATTCCCATGTTATTTGAACCATTTGGCCCAAGTCCTGCAACCCAATTATTTGGATTACCCATATTATTGTTTCCAACGGGTTGACCGCCAAAAGGTAAAAAGGGATTAAATTGATTGTTCTGATTGCCAAATGGGATTTCGGTACCCGGGATACTTGTCAAATTCAAACCACCATCCATGGGATCATCTTGATGATCTGGTGGGGGAGTACCTTTAGGTTCTGGATAACCATAACTAACAAAATCATTCACACTATCTGCTGAATTGCTTCCGGTAATATCATCTAATGGAATAATTTTTGGCTCTGTAATTGTACATTGTTCCATATCTGGTTCAGATGGAGAATCTGGAATCATTGCATGAGAAAAATACAATGCTTTTAGGGTTGTTCGTTCCCGTTCAGCTTGAATAGTTTTTTCTTTACTCTTACAACCCGGATCTGGATGTGGTGGAACATCATCAACTTCGATTAACGGTCTCCATTGCATTTGTTCTACCATAAGATCTTCATTATTTAATTTACGTGCTAAGAGGAATGCTTCACGCTCATGCATTCTTTCCATATTTTTCATATCAGTAAATGCTTTAGTTACATTAACACGCTCATTTTCGTCGAGTTCGAAATACCGAATTTCCTCGAGATCTTCTTGCGGTCGCCATTTTAATTTCTTTTTAGGTCCTGTGCGACGGTGTAAGATTAAAACACCAGGTGGCCCATCTGGACCACAACCAGGGCCTGGAGGTTTCTTAATTGGAATATATGGTTCCTCTGGCGATTTTGGATCAGAAGACTCTATTATCTCTGCACCGTCATTGCTTTCATCCTTTATTTTTTCATTATCTTCTTTAGTATTCTCCGCGCTAGTTTTTAGGTCAATATCTTCTTTGACTTTTTTCAATGGAATATCATCATCATCATCTTCAATCTTAATAATTGTACTTTCTTTATCATTTTCTGATTCAGACTTTTCACTTTTATTATCTAATTTAGTGTCAGATTTATCATCTTCCTTTGCCTCTAAAGTATCTTGATAGAATTTCAACGGCTCCACTTTTGGTGCAGTTGGACTCTCAGCATTTGCTGAATTACTTGGTCGTCGTTTTCTTTTTGTAACATTTTTCTTGTAAGCGGCAGCAGATAGTGCATCCATAAATAAATCACTTTCAACAAGGCTAGCTGCAAAGAAAAATCAAAATAAATAATAAATTATTTTTCAAATTGACATTTTAAAAATACATATTTAACATTAATGATGATTAAAAATATTTTGTTGGGTTTTATTTGCTGTTTGTCTGAAAATAAAAGTAAATTAACAAAAATTAAGCATTTTTAGAGATTAAAACTTTAATTTGGATTCGAAATATTTTTGCTTTGCAAAAAAAAAGCATACATATTACTTAATGTTACAACACTCGATAGAAATTAATATTGCAACAATGTATTTGTATTATTAAATCGACTGTAAGTTTTGAATTAATATCGTGATAGTGTTGCGATAAGTGTTTGTATTTTCAAAAAAAAAAATAAATAAAATATACCACAACGAACATAAAATATTGGGTAAGAAATTTGGCATAAGCTTTGATAAACCTTATTGGTTGCAAGATAATGGAATTAAAAATCCAAAAGTTTTGAAGAATACTTGTAAATAATCCCATTCAATTGAATTGATGGTACATGCTCAGGAGCGATGCGACTCGAACATTTATTTAAAATAAAAATATTCTTGAATTGGGACATTTAACATTTCACTTTATTTACATTAAAAATTCTTCAATTTTAAAATTGGACAAAGGAACAACAAAAAAGTTTAAAACTATATATAAAATATATTCGTAGTTATTGTTAAATTAAATTAATTCGCAAATTTTTTATAAAAATTGAAAAAAGTTGATTTAAATATTAAGGAGTTATCTACGCAATCAAAGGTAAAAGAGCGTTCCTGTTGTAATTATATAAATTTCCAGGATCAAAATGATGGTTTTCCATTAAGTATATTTAAAATAACATTGAAATAAAAAAGAAATTAAACAAGCCATTACAGATTTAACACCTTAAAGCAAGATAATAGTAAATATTCAAATATGGATTCTTATCCCCACTTTTCATAGTTTAAAAAATGTACAAAAAGCGCACCGATTTATTAAAGTTAAAAAAGGTTAATACATAGAAAATATTTTAAAATAATGATTTAATTTTAAATGGACTGAAAAACCTAATTTTTGTGTTGTTAGCCCTAAAAAAAATTTTTTAATAAATAATGAAAAAGCATCAAGTTAAATATTTAAAAAGTATTTTTGATCAAATTTTAAAAACTTGGTTCGAAAATACTCACAAACAAAATACATTCAATAAAATTTTCTATAAACATCAACAATTGAACTAAATACATGACGCGCCTATATTCACATGTCTATACATATTTTTAAGGAATGAAATTCAACCCTATTATAGGTTGGAATAACGATCGTTGCGAAAACACAAATATATGCGAGTTTTGACGTTGGAAACAGTAATTAACCCTTGAAATAGTTGTATTAAGTTTTAATAGAATGAGAAATGTTGTTGCACTTAAATTTTGCGTAGCAAGATTAAAAAAGCAAGTTTCCTTCTTTTATGGAACTGGATTTCCGTTTCATTGTAAATGTAAAACGGTTACTTATAATGTGCAGTAATCAGAATTAAAGGAATTTTTCTAAAGATTTCATTATTGATCCTAATAATTGGTGCGATTTTGAACTTTTCTAGAAATAATGGAAGTCTCTTACTTTTCCTTTAAGGGATTTTTCTTTATTGCTCCTTTAAATTATCTTTTTAAAGTGTTTATCAGTATTTGAGCATAAAAATTTTATTTTAATTAAATAGTTTATTTATTCTTCTTTTTTTTTATAATTTTTTTTTGTTTTAGATTGATTCTCTTATAACTAAAAACATTAAAATTAAATATTAAATAAAAAAAAAATTAAATGATTGATTGACATTTTATTTGTAGCCAACAACCATAATTATGTATTTAAAAATCTTATAAAAATTTTAATCAGAAATTATAAATAAATTATACAAAACCTGCAATTTTATTTACGTTTGCGTAAAATACGTAAAATTCCATCCATAACAATCCATACAAAAATAAAACAATTTTTCCTTATATTACAATACTTTCTCTAACAATATTGCAGCAAATTTGACTAGTGAAAAAAAATATTTGTCAATGTTAAAGTTAAACTTCTCCGTACACAATGGTAAAAAAAAATTCCAACAATTTTTACTTCAAACATAGGCATGTTGGGTATGTTATGAACTAATTTTAGCAAAACTACACTTGTTTCACTCAATATTTAACAAAAAGTATGCTATTATAAATTTTATTTAAAATTTAATTAAACCACTTTTCTTGCTAAATCAAAGTCATAATTGCACAAAAAGTTAGAACTTATAGGAGTAATATAAGAAAGTAATGTTTTTATTTTGTTTTAAGTAAAAAATTAATAGATCCATTATCACTTCAACTTTTAAATTATTTATATTTCTTAAGAAATGTTCATTCTTAATTCTCGAACCGACCACCATCTGTTGCTCTAAAAAAAATGATTCGCCATCTCGGCACAAATCCTTTTTCTTCCAGCATGTCATCTTGTAAAATCGTAGCAATTTATAATTAATTTTCAGATTCCACATACATCTTTAAGAAATTTTTATACAGATGATAAATTCATTTTTTCTAAAACACGTTGACCCTTTCCTACATTATTAATTTAACAAAACAAAAAATTCTATCTTTCAGAAATTAGATTTCACTTAAAGTAAAATTTCAAATAAAATTGACTTTCTAGAAACATTCACTTCTTCAAAAATGAACATTTTTCATTTCCCTAAAGATCGCTCCCATAGCATTTTCGCCTTCATTACGTCCACTATTATACTTACCATGTTGTGTAGATAAAATAAAAACCAACAAAATATTTATTCATCATTTATCTGTCAAAAATAAAGCAAAAACATGTTAAAAAAAGAAATATAAAGAATCTTACGTTTTGGTTTAGGAGCAATTAATTTAATAGAACCAGGCTTCTCAACTATATTACTAGGCATTCCAGTCATATCAATTCTAGGTTTCTTTTCTGCAGGTGGTCCACTATTGTGAGCAGCATTATTTTGGCCGCTCGCGGAATTTACAGAAGTATTAGAATTAGACGTATTTGTAGAACTACTACTAGAAAGTGGAGGAGAAGAACGTTTCAACGTTGAAGCAAAATTGCTACTACCAAGAATCCCACCAGCAGGTACAGAAACAGGAGTAACATTTGTCGGCTTTTTTAATTGCTTTCTTGAAGGTGGTGGAGGTGCTTCTTCGGTTAAGCCATGACTGCGAAATTGAGATTTATATGTTTTCACAGTTTTGGCTTTTTCTGAATCTTTTCGAATTTCAATAGACATTGAGGCTTTTTTAGACGGTATTGTTATAGATGTAGGTTTCAAAGCCTCGGGATCATTAGGATCCCTTGGTTTTTTAGGAATTTTTCCCAATTTCTCTAAACTAGGTGGAAGAACTTTATTTAAGGTATCTTTATCTTTTTCAGCCTGGTTGGTCTTCTCCTTTTCTCTTTCTTTTTCTTTCGACAAAGACTTTTCTCTTTCGTGTTTATGTTTATCTTTTGAGGAAGATTTATTAGAGGACTTTTTTTTATGGTCTTTATCCTTTTCACGATCCTTATCCTTGTCAGAATCTCTATCTTTGTCCCTGTTACTATTTTTATTAGAATGTTTTGATTTACTGGAAGAACTACTACTGCTACTACTATTCTTTGTAGATGATGAATGTGATTTTGATGAGGATTTAGATGAACTATTACTAGATTTATGACGATCTTTATCTTTACTACTACTGCTTTTTGTCTTATCCTTTACTTTATCTTTGTTTTTATCTTTTTCTTTTTGCTTATCTTTATCTTTTATATCCTTACTTTCTTGATTTTCTTCATTTTCCTCATCCTTGGATTTATTTTCATTTTCTTTATTAGATAATTTATCAGAAGATTCATCACTCTCAGATTGTTGGTCACCATCATTATCAGCTTCGTCTCTCTCTTTTGATTCATTACTTACGGTTGTGTCGTCTTCTTTGCATTCTTCTACCTTCGAAACAACTTGCTTGCCATCTTTAACAACAATTTTAAGAGTTAAACTACTAGACGATTCTGTCGACAATTTCCGTTTTGGCGACGGAGATGACTTAAATGTACTATCACTAGTTTTTGTGCTAGGGGATTTACTTGTTTCGACATTCTCAATTTTATCAGTTTTTGAATTCTCATCATCTTTTTTTGTATCAGTAGTTTTGCTAGTTATTTTGCTGTCCGAAGTGCTAGTTTCAGTCACTTTGCTGGTCGCATGATTGTTTGATGCTAAATTTGAAGCTTTTACAATATTTAACCATTGTTCAACTAATCGTGTTGCTAATATGCGTACGTCTAATAAAAAAAATGGAAAACAATTTATAAATTATTGAGATAGTGAAACGGTTATTTTGAAAGTTTAAATTTAATTAATGAAGGATCTTGCATACTACAAAATCGTAGGGATGTACTAAAATTTTTTGGTAAGGTAAATATACTAAACCCATGAATTCAACTTAATTTATTTTACCCAAATTTCTTAAAATTAAATTTTCTTTTTCTATTACCCACAACTGAAGGTTTTCCTTATTTTTCGATTCAAAAATATTCTGGTACCGACTAGCATATGGCTGAATGATACAGAAATTATCATTATAAAATAAAATTATTAAACATCAGTTTAATTTACAGAAAGTAAAATTATATAACCAAATAAAACTTTAACTCAAAAAACATACTTCGGCTTTCAATTTTACGCATTAGTAATTTTTCAATTTAGTTTGATAACAAGGCTTAGGAAAGCACGATATTTATTTTTAAATTTTGTTAAATATCCAAATTCTTTAGGGAAATCATCTTTTATATTTAAAAAAAAAAAAAAAAAATTATACGAACAAAATATTATCCACACTATCTAAGACTCGTTTTAGAAAATTTTCTCGCTATACTTTTTATGTTTAAATTTTAATTGCTCATTCTTACCTGGTGGACCTTCTCGAGACAGTTGCTTCACCAGTTTTGGTGAAGTATTACTTTTTAAACGTTCAACATCTACTGGACAAAGTAAAAACAGCTCCAAAATTTCAGTCACTAAAGGATAATTCATTGCTCGTAATCCATCGGTTAGCCACAAATTAACTAGTTGCCAACCTCCTGCTCCCATAAATTCTCCAAGCAAATCCGTTTTGGTACATTTTAAAATTTGTATGTATATGCATTTTGAAACTAATTTTTTTGAGTATTTCGTCATAAGCCTAGATGAATAAAATTTGTTATATGTGTTTGTAAATCTTTGAGCTATATTAAACTTACCCAGCAATACGTTTAACTTCATTCAAACTTAAAATACCACCATTCTTGTCCAAGAGGACTTTCAAACATGTTAATAACTGTAAAGGGTCTATCCTTGGCTGTAAAAACATTTTTTCTAAATATTTAATTTCAATTTATTTTAATAAAAATTACCATTTCAGATACGTTTTAATCAGCCCTCTAACCTGTCAATATGACGTTTATAAATCTGACGTCTATCTAAGACGCAAACCATATAATGCGTGCTCTTTGCTGAGTCACTTCCGAAATTAATTTAGTAACCTTTGAAACAAAATGGCGTCTTTAGATTTCTTGATATTTTAAATTTTCACGATTTTTTTTTTTTTTTTATAAAATTAAAATTAAATCACTTCAGAAAAATATTTTAGATTAATTCAAGATGAATTCAATATATTTTAGTCTTTTCTAATTTTATACTTTTTTTTTAGATTTTGTTTTATATGAAATTAGCAATTACGTAATATTTCCTCCTACCCATTTAAAATATAAATATACGTATGTATGTACATTATAATCTCAAAGAGGTCAAGCGTTTTCTACAAATTTTACAATAAAACCAAAATTGTTTAAAAAATTTATTTAATGACAAAGAAAAAAATGTATTATATGTATAATTTTTTTTTTGCGTTTTATTAAATTGGTACAATATTTTTTAATTATTGCCTACGCTTTAAATTGTCCGATGAACAACCTACGTTGTAGAATTATTTCTCCAAACTATTGATATGTCAAATTCACTTACCACTTAGCCACAAATTTTCTCAATTTCTTCGCTACAACACAACACTACAATGTCAAAAACAACCATCAACTATGTTCACATGCTTGTCTTGTCTGTATTCATAAAATCTACCAGTGTTTAAAATTTTCAATTTGTAGTTGTTTCACTCTCAAATATAAAGTAATCAATACTAGTGGAATATTTTGAAATGAAATAATTACTTTAATAAATTTTAAAATTTATGAAGTTTGACTGAATATTACAATATAAAAACATTCCTCACCACGGAGAATAAAGTTATATTATTTTTTTAAGTTCGAAATGCTTTACATTTTTATATTACACATTTTCACATGAAATATAGGATTGTAGAAAATTCTTTTTGAATATGTACATATTTCCAAAAATTTAAGCAATATTTTGACTATTTAACTTTTTAGGCATACAAAAAATACTTTTGAAATTTATTAAAATTTTGTAAAATCTATTAAAATTTTGTACAGAACGCTAATTAGTTAGATTTGTACAAAACGCTCATTAGTTAAATTTTAGGTACATACTTATAACATTCTAAGACATGATTTTTAAAACATTGTGTTTGGATATCAGGTATTTTACGTTCTCAAATTTGATAAACTATTTTTTAAACCTCCCTCGTACTTTTTGAAACGCTATTCATTCGATGTGAACTACATTCATTCATGAACTACATGTACTACTGTCGTTTTACGTAAATACATATATGTATATCTAAGATAATTAATATAATTATTATGTATAACTTTCGGGATTTCCTTTATTTTAATTACAAGTAAATATTTTACAGTCTAATTAAAATTTTAATTCTTTGTCACTTTTGTATATTTGAACTAAGTCTTTTTCTTGTCTATGAAAATTAATTAACAACGATAAAACTGGTCTTTTACCCCTACTTTGTAATGTTTGACTTCTTGTGTATATATGCATCTATATATACATACATTTATACGTACATGGAGAAAACGCCTTTACAATTAAGATATAATGGGTAACTTATTTTTTAATTTTCAATTTACTTTCCACACTCAAAAAGATTTAAACTGAGTTTTAAATTATTTTTTTTTTTTACACAATTATTTTTACATATAAAGATATAAGTATAATACATATATTTGAAAAAAAAACCTAATCAAACTCACCGTGTGTAGCCTAAGCAAAAAATTTTTTACGAATGAATATGAAATCTAAAATGGTGTACTAGCGTTTAGGTACTACCAACAGCTCAAAAACGAAAATCGAAAGAGTTGCTGATTTTCAAAAATTGTAGTAGAATGTTCCTTTTATCTTAGCAATAAAATTGCAATTAATGCGTGAGAATAACAATGGCAACTATGATTGTTCAATTTGTTTTTTTGCAATTTATGGTAGATTTTCTCATGATATCATCATGAATCTATTTTATCAATCTAGAACAAATTGTAAATATCAAATAATAATAAAAAATATTTTTAATTTGATTTACATAATGAAATAAATATTTTAAGTGCCAAATTGATTATGAGTTGAACGTTCTCGATGGTTAAACACAAAGTTTTTAAATTACAACACTACATTTTAAAAATGTAGTATTAATAACAAATAATAAACTTTATAGAAACTAAAATACTTAATTTTATAATTTTTTTTTTAAAAATTCATTATCAATAATAATTTTATTATTGTGTAAGTGATATACTATAAATTTATAAAAAATATTCTCAAAAAAGTTATCAACAAAATGAATTGAACACGAACATGCAGATTTTATAGATTTTATTGTATGTGATTATTCTCCACCTCATATCCTCGCATTTAAAGAACAGATCATAGAAATAAAAAAAGAAATCAAATATTGCTGGTAAAATATATGAAAGAAGCCACAGAAGACAAACATTTCGAGAAACCAAAAACTCAAGCTACATTAATCATTATGTTATTGAATTTGTACATATGATTTTGTTAATATTACTTTAGAAGTGAATAATTCTACTTCAATTTAGTGTTTCACGACTCAGGAAATTGTATGTACCTGACTTGGTAAAATGTTATCCAATTACAGTACTAGCAATTATGAATTCGGTCAAAATAAACAAAATGAAAAAATAGTAATAACCAAAAATATTTCTATAAAAAGCAAAAACACAAATTAAAACAAATTTATCTTATATTCTTATGATTATGAGGATCATTTGGGTACATACATAAGTGTTACCTGCAAAATCTTCTACATTTTCGAACTGAATTGCATTCAAACATTGGCAAAATGATTACTCAAAATAATTGAAACAACTTTACAGTCCTGATAAAAGATAAAAAATGACGGAAATTGGTTTGAAAAAGAATTTTTTAACAGATTTTTATTTTTTGTATAATATAAGTACATACATATTATTACCTCGGTACACTTGGGATTAATAATATCAAGCATTAATTAATATCAAAATTTTTAAAAAGCTCGACAATAGAATAAGTAGAATACATTGAAATTTAAAACTTATTCTAATAAAATTTGGAACATTATTCAAATTAATTCATTTAATTTAGTAACTTTTATTTTTGATTAGTGCATAATTTATAGCATCACATCACTTCCCTTTTACAAATTTTCACATTAATTAATTAATTTATTTTTAAAAATATTCAGGTGTATTTTGAAAAATCTAACAAACCATACTTAATTTTCGGAAAAGATAGTGAAAAATTGCTAAAACTATAAATGACATTGCACATGGTGGCCCAATAGCAACCATCCAATCCCATAATCTACAAAAATAATTTTTTTTTTATACTAAACTAGTCAGATAAAGTAAAAAATTTCTTTTTATCTTACGTATAGAGTTCATCTGATACTTGAAAAGGTTCTTTAATTTTAATTTCTCCACATTTATGAATTGTTACATTTACCAAAGGCTCATCGTCTGAGTTTGTTTTAACCTAAAAAATAAAAATTTTTACACTGGACATTTGGATATATTTTGGTTTTTTGATAACTTTTTCGATAGCGAAGAGAACTTCCATTCCTTCATACACTTTTCCAAATATTGTATGTTTGCCATCTAGCCATTCAGTTCGAGTTGTTGTTATATAAAATTGACAACCATTTGTATCTGGACCACGATTTGCCATACCAATAAAACCAGCTCTTGTATGCGATATTGTTAAATTCTCATCTTCAAAATATTTTCCAAAAATGCTAACAGAACCAGTTCCATCATAATTTACTATATCACCACCTTGAATCATAAATCTTTGAATAACTCTGTGAAAACGTGTTCCTTTATATGTACGACCATTTATTCCTTTAAGACAAATATGCCGAAAATTTTGTACAGTTTTTGGTGCATCATTTCCAAATAATCCAATTACCATTCGACCCAAATTTTGTGAACCGTGACGAATATCAAGATAAATTTTATTAGTTGCTTGAAATCGAAATGATTCAACTATTGCTAAACAATAGAATAATAAAAATATAATTTTTGGAAGCATTTACAAGGTCGTATCCGAAAAAAATTCAATATAGTTATATTTAAAATATTTCTTTAGTTTTTTTAAAAGTACGGTAAAATGAAAATTCCGATAAATATTGATTCAAATTTAACAAATTGTTAAAATTAGACTGGCTGAGTTTTTTCTATACAAAAATTTCACATTAAATTTAGAAGCCATATAAACGAAGAAAACACAAATTCTATGCCATGCAAATTTCATGTATACGAGTAGTAAAAAGAAATATCATAGAAAAATGTTAAAAACGTATTATTCAATTAAGTTTATGAACTTGAAACTTTTTATTTACACTAGATACATGTTTTGTATTTTGGGCCTACCACACGCTTTTATTTAGTTCTGCCATATTTATGTACTACTGTGGTACTTTTACTAAAATACTAACTTCGTTATTAAGAAATTAAGAAAGTGATTTTGATTTTTGACTGATCAATAAACATATAAAAATTAATATATGTATACATTTAAAATCAATATTGTCATGATAAAATTACAAAGTTAGAAATCGATACCGTTGTGATTTCAGTTAATGTTAGTTACCGTTGTTAACATACATACATTTATATGTATTACATAATATGAAAGAAAAAATTTTAAACCACGTAAAAATTGATTTAATGATAATCAATAATACCGGTATTGCGATAATACTGTTATGTTATTATGTTATTATAGCGTATTATAACCTGATTCAGCTTATATGTGTTAACTGCTAAATTCTGTTATGTTAGAATTTATTTTAATGTTTTTATTTAACAAACACTTAATTATGCATTAGTTTTTGGAAGTAATAATACGTGAGACTCTACTTTACTCATTATATCCGTACGAACGTATGTTCGCAGGGTATACTAATAAGCTATGGCATATTTATAACTCGCACATAGGATAACAAATTCGTACGGGTATCACAAAGCTGACACGGTCAACTCTATTTTTTCTTGTTTTTAATTAAAGATCATATGGTAATCCGAAATTTTTTTCAAAATGCAAAGTTCATCGAATCTAACAAAAAAAAAAATACTCATGAGAAAGTAATGCTTTAAGTTTTATCTACCTTTTTTAATTTATAAAAAATATGACCAAATGCTATTGAAGCAACTCAAATGTATATATTTGCTCTATATTATAAAATACATACATTATGTACTTGTGTTATATGCCTCATATATATGTACATATATGAGTTTTTTTTCATTAACGTCAGATGTAATATTTGTTTCTGTTATACACATTCTTTATTGTTTTAAAATTTTAAACTTATGCACTCCGTATTCATAAAAATAAGTAAGTACATAAACAAGCATAATAAATTTTACATACATATATAAATACAGAATTCAGCAATTGCAAATTTTAAGCTGAACTATGTATTTCTAAACATCCCATTGCTATAAAATCAATTCACAATCATTTCACATATCATAGAATTTATTCAACTATTTACAGTATTAAATCAAATTCAAAAATTTGAACCACTTATAAAAAACACTAATTTAACTAAAAACATAATACATTCAATAGCATAATTCAATTCATATTTATTCAAATATATGTACCTAATGTATGCAAACACATAGATACACCACCAAACGTCAATACAAATTTTCTATTGTATCTGACTCATTTCATACAGGCACAATGTACATGTATATACATACATATACTAAAAAATATATTAAAAATATATAAAAATTTCAATCAAAGCGATTATTATATTCATTCATTATAAAATATACTTATGTATGCACATATGTATAAGCTAAGTTCTGAAAAATTGAAAAACTTGAATATGTATGTATATTTAAATTTTATTTTATTCAACTATATTATGCATATTTGAGTTGATCTATTTGAGAAAGTTTATTACGAGTATGTATTAAATTTAAATTTAATATGTTAATTATTAAAAATTCAAAATATGTATGTATGTATTCCGTTTCAATTAAACAATCTACTCGTAACATTATTCATAAATAACTTATAAATATGCATAATTACATATGATTATAAAGAAAATGTTATTCAAAAATATTTATTAAATAATATATGTATATAAGTATGTACATATTTTAGATGTGATGAAAAACCAAAATGAATAACAAATTTTCACGTTAAAAATTTTATAGAATTAAATGCAATTAAATATTTTTTCACCTTTTTTTTTTTTGACGTTAAGAAAAATTATTACGTATGGGACAGATGAGTATGTACCATGTAAAAATGACGGTTGGGAATACCTTTTAATTAACTAATAATGAGAATTATAGTACTGAAGCATCCACATTATATCCTACACATATACACACACGATTATATTCATACATACATAATAATATACATATATATAAAATTTCCTTTCTTTTTTTTTAAATTAAATACTAGAGTAGACTTAAGTTATCTATATACATAAATGACTATCTTTAAACCGATGAAGACCGATTAAATTTTTTTAGTGATGGTTTATATTGATAGACATAATATTGATATTATTCGCGTAATCTTTATACATAATTTTAATACCAATACAGAAAGAAAAATAATAATAATAATAAAAAAAAAAAATAAATTGTAAAAAAAAATTTTTTACGCGACTCATGAAATTCTTTATTGAAAAGAAATGAAATAATTTTTTTTTTTGTTCAAATTTTTTTCTTATACATTATATTAATTCCCGAATGTGTATTGAAAAAAAATAAAATAGAGTTTTGTTTAATCAAGTTTTCAACATTGAAATTAACATATATAAATACAAATATATATATACATATATGTATATATATACATATACAAAATAAATGCACATACTTATATATTAGATGTAAGAATAAATAATGTACAATTTATTTTATGTACATCAGTACATACTTTTATTTTATTTTCATTTTTTTTTTTTTAATTATATTTTCTTCTAGCTTTGTTTACGTATAACAGTTAAATTTTTTTTCAGTATTAAATTGGCAACCTTCGATTAAAGGTGCTAAAATAAGTTGCGCGCGCAATAAAACTCTGTAAATAAAAAAGTTAATATAGTAAAAAAAAATATATAAGTATATGTATATAATTTTATTAATTTTTTTTATGATATACCTATGTACATACATATTTATATTTTATGTACGATCAATATGATATTCTAAAAGCAAAATTATAATAATAATTCTATATTTATGTAAATAAATTTTGTGAAAATTTAGGTTTCTCAAATTATTTTGTTATACACAAATTTCTACTCTTTGGAGATCAAAGCACAATAAACTTTTAAAAAATATTTATTAAAAAAAATTTTTTCGTGTTTTTTTTTTTTTGCAATAAATAGCTATAAAATATACATATTATATACATATTATGTACATGGCTTTATGAGTTCATAAGTACATACATGTACATATTTATATATTTTAAATTTGATGTGTGAAAAGATCCAATTAAAAAGGAATGAAAAAAAAAATAACAAATAAAGTTTTAATATCAGTTGTAAATATTTTTTTTTTTTTTACTTAGTTACAAGTAAAAAGTGTGTGAATTAAAAAGTTGTGACCCATTTGTGACGTCCTAAATAAAATCATACTTATGTGTACAAAAATTATGTAGTTTATAAAGTGTAAAAAGAAATATGTGCATAAAAAATAAAAACAACACGAAAAATAAAATTTAAATTTATATTGTAAATTTTAATATTTTAAATTTTTTTTTTTAAATTGTGAATTGTATTTAATTTGAATTTAATTGATTTATAAGTACAAACCATATTAGGTACTTATATAGAATAAATAAATAATAAGTTTTTCTGCATAAATAACAGCTTAATAATATTATTTAATATATAAATTAAATTTAATATGTATATATAAATATATACATATACATAGATATTTGTGAAGATTTAGCTTTTTTCAAGATAAACATACATAATATTATATATACATATACTAATACATAAGAGTAAGTATATTTAAATTATTAAATGGTTTGTGTTTTATATTTTGTTTAGATATAAAAAAAAAATCCAGAAATGCTTAAGTATCATATTTTATGAACCTAAATCAACATATACTCTACTATATAATAATATTAAATACATAGCGAACACTAGCAAATATTAAACTTAAATAATATAATAAATAATATTTACATATTGTATATATGTATAAGAACATAATATTATACAGGGAATCTCGCATAAGATTGCATACGATTTCTAGGATGATATTCGATCAATTACTAGCAATAATCGTATAGGTGATAAGAGAAGAGGTGCAAATATATCGTTTTCGAACTACAACGTGTTACAAATGCTAATAAATTCGAAGTCGTGCAACATAGAAAACTATATTCTCTCATTGTAGCAAATCCGAAAAAAAAAATTCCGAGAAATTTTACGTTTTTAAATAAAATTGATGTAAGAACAAAAATAATGATCTATCAGTTATCTTTAAAATAAAACGTATAGGTCGCTCACCTATACGGTTTTTGCTGGAAATTAATCAAAGAAAAATCCCTGAAATGATTTACAAATTTATGAGAAACACCCTATATACATTTTATCATTCATTTGTATATTTTATATAAATTACTGAACTTTTCGCGTCTTGTATATTTTAAATGACTAATGAGTTATTCATTTAATACCAAAATAAAAATTCAAAATAAAAATTTTTTGATTCGAAAGGAAAAGATTCGTGAAATATACAAACTGTTCTGTACATACATCTATACATACATACACATATATAATCTATGAAATTTTTAATATTTTCGATTTATTTATTTAAATTAAATTTCATTGAATATTTTAATCAATCGCAGTTCTTATATATGTATGTATGCACATATGTATACATACTAAATTTTATACTTGTAGTATAGATGCATCACAAGAATATATAAACAATTATTAGACTTATGTATATTCAAAATAAAAATTCTGCTAAATAAATTTTTTTTTATGATTAAAACGTGTTTAAAATAATATTTAAATTAATCTTTTCTCTCTTATTCTATTTATCAATATTTTTATTAATTAAATGTTGGTGTATATTTAGTGATATTGGCAATAATTAATGTATATTTAATAAAATAAAAATATTTTATTAGATCTTTGAACAAGATCAGTTTAAGTTCAAAACTATTGTGAATTAAAAACTCAAAATATTTAAATATTCAAAGATAAATAAATATAATTTACTGTGTTCGAAATTGTTTACAATTTTTGTATAACAATTTATAAGAATATTTCAAGTTTCCTTTACCTTATGAGACCATATTAAATTTTTCACAAAATATTATTATTTAAAATTTTGGCAAGTTGTATTAATTTACACATACATATATATACGTAGATGATTTTCATAAACGCAATACTGCAAAATAAAAACTGCGAAACGAAATATTACAAAAACATAAGATGATGAATATGCAATATATGTATGTATGTATTTTTGATTATTCTACATATTTATAAAATTAAAACAGATTATACGATTTAACTGCACTTTTCATATTTATTTTGTTATATTGCGAGAATTTAGGTATGTTTATGAACAAACTAGTTAGAAACATTTATTTAGTAACATAAATATTCCCAATAAATTTTGTATGGCTTTGCGAAAAGAGTTTATGAATTAATTTTTTAACAAGTTGTATTAATTTTAAGGATATACATATGTATATGTACATATTCTGATGCTATCATAGCCATATTATTTTAAAAATATATTTTTTAATCAAATTATTTTAAAACTTATGATGTAGGCTTAATTAATTCGAAATTTATTTGTTTTAATTTGTTCTTATTTGATATTCGTTTTTTTTATTAAAATGTGGCAAACTGTTCACTATAGATTTGTGTTGGTATCTTTTTTTTGTATAGAGTGTAGTATTCTCATTTTAATAAAGGAACGCTGCTAAAAGTCAGCTGTTTCTCGATAATTAAAATTTATTTATTTATATTTATACCCTGCCACCTTGGTTTTTTTTTTAATTTTTGTCCTGTGAAGGGATTTTTTAGGGAACGACAATTATAACAGGTGACAATAATTTAGTTAAAGTTTTAAAGGGGTTAAAATTTTATTCATTGTAACAATATTACTTATCTCGAAAATTAAAATAATTTTTTTTTTTTTAAGTGTTATTAACTTATCTAAAATAACCTGTCACGTCTTTTGAATTATTGTACTTATTTCTGTTATATATAGTTATGTTATGACGAAATTATCAAATTCCATTTAAAAAAGATTTTTATGATACGCAGAAATTCGTAATTTTACAAAAAAAAAAAAAAAATTGCTTATGCAAATTTTTATAAATCGCATGTGTATAAAAAGCGATCATTGTTATTTTTTTATACTTTTGAAATGATAGAATTATATTTTTTAATACCCTGACTTCAAAAAAAAATGTACTATGGTAATACTACACAATTCAAGTAATGGGTTCAGTAATTGAGTTATACGATTCCGATATGACTTAGTAAATTATTACTTACTAAATTTTATTATTTTTATATTTATTGAAACGGTTTAAATAAGTCAGTTTGCTATAGAATTTTATAATAATACAAATTATATTTAACTTAACTATAGTATAACAGTATTCTTACTATTGTATAACAGTATACTATAAACAGTTCAGTTAACGATTGAATTGAATAAAAAAAAAAAGAAAACAATAATTTTCTCGACATTTTTAATTTAAGTGCTGTGCAAAAATTAAATTTGATTGAATCAATCCGGTGATATAAAATGCTATTAAATACTTTTGCATTATAAACGGCCATTTTTTAGTTTATTTATTTTTCCCTTGTTTTTTTTTTAAATTAATTAAGTGAAAGTGTACTACTGTTTCATATAGAAGTAAATATTGTTTTGTTTGATAATTTTATAATTTTTAAATTCAATTACATGCCAAGGTAATTAATATTGTAAATATTTACATGCATACAGACATATATATATATATATAAAAAAGAAATAATAAAATGAGAGTAAGTATAAAAGAAAGGAAGATATTTTGACAACTTGATAATTTTGTGATTACTGATTATTTACTTTATTTACGTTTAAAAATCTTAACAAAATAGCAGCTGAAATCTGTTACATTCTTGTTTACTCTTCTTTTTTATTATACACATAATGTATATGTTACATACATATATGTTTTATTTAATGATCATTTTTAAATTTCATTTGTGTATACAATTAAAATATGAAATTATTCCGTGACTTCGAAATTTCAGTAATTCACCACTAAGGATTTTTGTTATATAATTCAGCAATTAAAATTCATAAACTGAATTGTATTTTAGTATACTATATAATTTTGGAATCAAAAATAAAGTATTTAGAAAGAACCAGGTCTGTTATGTACATACATACTTATATATAATGTGCATGTTTAGATAATTGCTAAATACAAAAAGTAGCCTTTGAAAATCTTATTTTCACGTGTTTTTATATAACACTTTCAATTTTGCATTAATTATTATTCATTTGCAATAAAATACATACATAAGTACATAAATGTACATAATATAACTATATACTTATATGAATATTTACAACTTGCTTTAAAATTTAAATATTTAACTGCTTGTTTTAACCTTGAAATTAGTCTTGATTAAATTAATAAATATGTACGTATACTTATTTGTTTAAATAAATTTATTTATTTTCGTTCTTATTCACCGAACCGCTTTTTTTTTCTTTTGATAATAAGCACAAACGTACATGGCAATATCTTAATATCTTATGAAACAAAAAATAATTTTTGAATTCTAAAGGAACTGTCTAAAATTTTTAACAAAAAATGATATCAAATCTAATTTTAACATACAACTAGCTAACCAGCCCGAAAAAAGAAAGTGGCATTTTTTTATTTATTTATTCTCGGGATTTAATAACTTCTCATATGTATTAAGATCTTTCTCTTGATACCCCACATTTCTGTACTAAAAATTTTTTCCATAATTAAAATTTCCAATGATTTTAAGGCCACTCCTGTGACCACAAGGGGCTTCTTGACGAATTTCTTCTTAAACCTATCAAAACTATCAAATATATTCGGTATACAAAATTTATATACTATATGCATAGAACTGTACTTATTACCATGTCGTTTTTTAAATACACTTGTTGGAAACGGCATTCCAGATCTGATTTTGATATTGTCCATTAAGAAATTTTGTTGATAAGAAGATAATTTTAGTAAAACAAATCTTGAACATGTGATAAACAACATTCGAAATGAATCTGAAGCAAAAAGAAATAAATCTGGATTTAAATTACCGATTTATAAATCGACATATTTCTTTCAATAATTCAAAATATTTTTTTAGTTTAAGGATGAAAACAAATACTGGAATCAACTCACTTATATCATTGAATTTATATGATAAAATCAGATTATTTAGCGAAATTTGAAATTTTGCTAAGTTTAAGACTCAATAATTTGAAAAGAAAGAGGAATGTAGAAAAGTGTTCATTGGGTATTTCTAACGTTTAATACCAGGAAAAAAAAATTCATGGAAATTGAAAAAAGCGAGGATTAAAATTAAAAAGAAACGGTAACTTTAATCAGCATTTTGCCATTTACTTCAATAGGTATTTTGCCATTTGGCAAGAATATGAATAAATTAATGTTTGTTTGTTTTCATACAATTGTCATTGAACTACCATTTTAAGACTCGAAGGAACATAACTGGGCGTAGGTAATTTTTTTCTGAAACAAACAGTTTTTGGCAAAGATCTTTTTGTGTACGAAGAAAGTACAAAAAATGTGAAAAAATTTTGTTAACGCATCACGTTCTTCCTGATGACAGGATAAAACAAATTAAAACTTACTTACACATTTTTTCCCATTTTTGCGGGAAATGTGCTAAAAAAATTATTTATCCACTACAGAAGATATGAATCACGAAATTGTATAACTACTTAAATGTAATATTTAAATAAAAAAAATATTATAATAATCGTTTTCCATGAGCTTATTTAAAGCAAAATATTTTCGTGCATATGTAGGAGTGTATATACACTCATTACATATAAATAGTATGCATAAGTACATAAGTAAATACAATTTTCTACAATGCACATACATACGAGCAATACACTTTATATTATATGAAATCAATTTTAAAATATTAGTAATTTTACATATTTTATCTCTATTGAAAAAGAAAACTGGCGATAAACCTTCAAAGTTTAGAATTTCACATTATTAAAATTAAGTAATTTTTTAATAGTAAACAAATGAAATTTCCTTCAACTATAAAGCAATTATTATTAATAAGTAATTATTAATGAAAAAAAATTTTTAACTTTGACTTAAGTCAGGTGACTTTTACATAAACTTCTACCCCGAATGAAAGTTTTTAGTGAAATAATCAATTATTAACATGTTAGAATTGATTTTATTTAAATTCAGTAAGTATTTTGATTTAAAAGCCTATTTGAACCGTATAACAGATTTTATTGATAAGTTTTTGTTTTAATATTAAAAATTGTTATTATAAATTAATTGCATATTCTTATTGAATTATAGATTTAATAAGAATCTGTAATTAATTTATAATTTCATATTAAAAGTAAGGCTATAGATATTATTTATTTAAATGAAAGATAATTATTAAACTTTTATAATTTAAACGTTATTATAATTTGTTAAAATTCAAATTCGAATTTGAGAAATTAAAAATATCGGAGATAATTGACATGCAATTTCAAACAACTTCTTGCTTTGTATATGTCTAGTGCATATTCACGCGGTAGAATTTATATAAATCCATACAATCCACATCATTAAATTGATTTGTTCAAAATTTCAGCTTTGTAAGCTTCTATAGTTTCAGGGCTATAAACAAACAGTTGACGAAGTTATATGGCAACTACCACAAGAAGTCGAGAAATCAAGTCAACGGCTTTTATCAAACATAACAGCCTTAACATTATATTTGCTTGTGCAAGTTTTAAAAACTATGCGCTGAATTATTTCTGAGATATATGGCCAAATAACTTTTAGAGTTATGTATGTGGCAGCTATCGCAAGTGCTCATGATGTCTCAACAACTTTTAGCAAATATAACTTTTATCATATTTGCTTTTGCAAAATTTCAATACTGTTAGTTGAACAGTTTTTAAAATATAGCCAAATAACTTTTCAAGTTGCATGGTAGCTACAAGAAGAAACCAAGCAATTTCAAGTACTTATATCAAATACAATAGCCCTTATATTGTGTTCTCTTGTACTACCAAAACCAGTACCTGGTTTATATCTATTTAAAATAGGTTTCCAGCATTTACTACTATAAATCATTTGTGAAAATTTGGTAAGCTTAGCTCAATTAGTTTTTTTTTAATTTTCTGGGCTTGCGGACAGATTTTATTTAGTTAAGATGAACGGACAGAGATGGTCAAATTGACTTAGAATTCGACGCTGGTTTATTTCTATATTTCAGACCATTATTTCTTAGCGTAACAAATGGTAATTCAAACTTGGTATACACTTCGAACATACGTTCACATACGGGTATAATTACAATCGGTAAGGCAAATGTAATATACCCTTCGAATATTTGTACGTATATAACTAATGCTTACCAAACTTTATTTACAACAAGCATAATATTATTATTTTCGATATTTACATATTATGCCTTAAAATATTTAATTATTAAATATTTTTCAATAAGTTCTTACATATAAAATCAATCATATAACAATTATGTTTATCAAAATAATCAAAATAACCTACTCAATTTTTAATTTTTAATAAATAATTAAAATATACACATATATTTTCAGATTCTTATTGAAATAAAATCATACTGGCTGCACCTGGTAATACTGCACCGCCCGTGCTTTGGCGCGCGCGTAAAAGAGTTGGTAAGATAAAATTGTAATCAATTAATTAATTTCAAATACATACATATATTGTATAAGTATTGTAATATTTTCATTACTATCATCAATTTAAAATAAAATAATAAAATGTCATCAAGTAATTATAAATATTGTCAGAGTATAACATTTTTTCTATTGCAAATAATAATATTATAGACTAACTATTTTTTGTGTACGCTATATACTAAAAAATTTAATATACATATATGGATATTTTTATGTTTAATAAAAATAATAAAAAAATTATCTTATTATTATTATTAATTTTTATGCATTTCTTATAAAGTTATATTCTGATTTTATATGGGTTAACGTATCGTTCACTTTAAATTTGCTACAATATGGAATTACTGTAAATTTTGAAGCCATAGCGTATAATAAAATAAATATAATATATTAATATATACATAGTAATAAGTACTTCAAAGGTTTTCTGAGCATATAAAGGCAATAATTCTGGTAATCCCATAATTATTGGAATACATGTTTCATTCATTTGCTTATATTTATCTAAAACTTTAATATACTGCAAAAACCAAAGTTCTACAAACCTGTAACTTTAATCAAATCAAAAAAAAATTCCAGTGGTTAACCATTTTTAGTATACATTATGTATTCTTTATTGCGTACACTGAAAAAATTAAATTTTAAATTTTTATTATAATAGAAACAAAAAAAAAATTCATGTGTGATTCAAGTACAATTTCTACGCAATAAAAATAAATATGTACAATATACTTATTTATTCATATTATTTATTCATATATTTATGCATATACATAAATAGATATTATATTATTAAGTATTATTGTTTATATATTGGATATCATAATATCTTATATTATACTGTATGTATGTATAACAATAATATACTAAAATTTTTGCGCAAATAATTCTTTTAACCTTTTATTGTATTTTTGATAATTAATGTGAAAATTATTTTGACTCGCATAAACCTACTTACATACCCTCATCATATTATTAAACGAAGTATTGTAACGAAATCATTATATTTTATATAAAATATGAAGACCATTTGATTTGGGATAGCAAATTTTAAACAAAAATACTGCAAATTAATAATATGAAAAGAATTCGCAAAAAATTAATAATCTTCTTCACTAAAATATTTATTAATAATTAATAAAAGTTTAATGATTTGATATCATATATGACAATGTAGATATATGTATATACACATTACACATATGTATGTAATGTTTGTGTTTTTTTACTTACTTATACATAATATAAATACATGTTCCGATTTTTGAGGAACAATAGAGTAAACAAAAAATAATCTGTAACATTTTGGATAATAAAATATCAGTGTATATACTTTAAAATTGACTTTAACGTACTTCAATGTACTTAATAATATATACATAATATATACATACCTTAGTTAGGTAATGATCATAATTATTATACGTATGTATGTACATATGTCATTGGATCTTTATATACCAACACCTCAGTTTACACCATTTAATTTGATTTAATAGTTTTTGATATAATGTGGTATACATACATATTTATTTCTTACATTGTATGTACATATACATACATACATAAGTAGATATGTAGGTCTTCTCAATGTAGGTTATAAGGCTTTTTCATTAAAATTTTTCATTACAAATCAGATTTTTTTTAAATTAGTTCAGGAATCACTTATCACTTTTTCAAGAGTATTAGCCCAAATACTTATGAATCCGTAAAAAGCAATAACCCATAAAAAGTGTATTTATGTGCGTTCTATTATATTCAGAAACTAAATTTTTATTACAGAATAAGTTAAGTTAATGTACATATTATGTACATACTTATGTACAAATTCTAATTTTTAAGGCAGGCAATTATGTTATATTTAAAAAACTCATTTACTGTATAAAGGCAGGGGTGTAAAGTTATTAAACATATTTGAATTTTACTAAATTTATGTATACATATATATTATACTAAAATTCATTACGGACAAAATGTAAAACTGTACCCAAAATCTGGAAACTGAAAATTTTATTCCTAATTATGCCAAGTGAAACATAGTCAAGATAAAAAGAAGCGATGCAAATTTTGACAGTTTTAAAATTTCGTATAGTGAGTAACAACTTAAATCTGCTGTCACGCTGTATATTTTGGCAAGCAGCGGATTCAAAATTAGAAACGAAACCAATTTTAAAGTTTTGCTTGAAGATTGTATATTTCAAACAAAACATTAAACAAAAAACAAATTTTGTTTTATGTCAACCATATACCAATATTACAATAAAATACCTCTTTTACATACGCATGCTTTATCAATAACAAGGGGTTTGTTTTTGGACTTGTACGTTCATAAAACTACAAAATTATGTACTTTATGTTACATCCTTGTTTTTGCATTTTTAAATATAAAAGTTCGTAAAATTTATAAACGCTTCCAACTACAATAGGGAAAATAATTTTTACTTTAATTTTCGTTTTGCTTTTATACCATTAAAATGTGGCTTTTTTGGCTGTATTTTTAAACACCATCCATTTTTAATAGTATGTGCCAATGAGTATTGCCATGCCATTAGTATGTCAAATTGGTATTACCACATTAGGATTAACATTCAGCTAAATTCAGTTTAGCTTTGGGTGAATAAATTTTTATTAAAAAAAAACAATAGTCTCTTGCGGTAAAGCAAAGTATTTTCATAAAATTAGATTCTTTTTTGTTCAGCGAAAATTACTATAATTTTTTTTAATTGCTAAAAAATAAAATTCGAATTTGAGAAATTTGTTTATTGAAAACGTTTCTACTTATTTATATCATTAGTTTTAAGTTAAAATATGTGTATAAAAATTTATATTACACAAAGTAATTTTTTTTTCAATTAGAAAAAAAAAATATTATTTTTGAAGGCAAAAAATATTGTTTTAAAACAAATGTAATGTATACATTATAACAAACAAATGATATCATATAAGTAATCAGTTTCTAACATAAAAATTTTGAAATTGAAATATGTAGCTCAAAAAAATTTTTTTTTTTTTTGAAAAAAATGTTAGCTTTAAAGTTTGGAAAATTTTTAAATTGTTTTTGTTTCAAAATATAAAAAAAAGAATTTATTTATAAAAGAATTTATTGCATACTTTAAATGCAGAAAATTGTTTGACAGCTCATGTATTTTTCAAGCTAAATTTTTTAGCAGAAAAAAGTGGAATGGCAACTTTTATATTTATAAATAATATTGTGTTGAATTTACAAACACATTCTTCTTCTTTAGTATAAGGTATGTTGAGTTCAGTTTGGCACATACTCTTTTAGCCAATATTCTTATAAGCTATTTATGGCATATATGTTTTGAAAATTTATATTTTTAAAATATAACTTTACACACAAATAAAATAAAGTAACAATACAAATACAATCTAGTAAAATTACGTTGTGAAACTTTTATTTTCTTAATTCATTGTTAAACACAAAATTATTGTATACATATAGAGCTATAGGATGTCAATACCTTATATTTATCATATGGTATTCCTTTATACTATATAATACTTACATATATTAATATTATGAAGTATGTGTAAAAATAAGAAATTGTGCTTTTTTTTTTTTAAATACATATGTTTTTTTTCTGTTATGAGATTATTATTATACTTTCCATGGTGTGGTGTATTATGATGACAGTTAATTTCAGTATATTCGGAACAGCTGTCGAGTCATGAGACAAAGCGTTTTAAAGTGCAACGAAGGGGAATAATATACAATATTATTATTTTAAATATATATATATATAATCTTTAAGTAACGGGAGCGACAATTTTGGTTAGCAGTGTTTAAATATAATAAAAAAATAAAAAGCTTTTAAAAATTTACTAAAGTGCTTTAAATTATCAAATAAAGAAGGAAAAAAAAATTATTTCTGTTTATACATATATATGCATATGTGTACATAGGTACATATTTGATTTAATATCTTAAAATCGGAAAGAAAACGTATATGTTTACATACATATAATTATGTATATATATGTACATATGTTCATTTGATATAATTTTTAATGTGAACAAGTAATTTTTTATATGTTTATTGCATATGTATTATTCTGTCATATAATTATTTTCATATAATTCCTTATATTTTTTAAAGTAAAAAAAAAAATTTTTTATTATAATTATAAGAAGTTGAAAAAAAATTATTAATAAATCCATATATATATATATATATATATATATATACATATACATTTATGGTACCTTTTAGTTTTATGTGAATTAAAAAAAAAAAATATCTTAAATCCTAAATAAATACAACCAAATTTTTTTTACAAGAGTGTCATAAAATTAAATTAAGTAAAAATATTGTAGATCGCAAAGTTAAAAAAAAAAATATCATATAAATTCAAGTGAAAATTTCTTATTACTATAATAATAAACGGGAAAAAAAAATTTTTTTAGTGAAACTAATAATAGGACTTATAAATACGTAAGACAACCTATAATCTACATTTATATTTTCATCTTTTATATTGAAAATTGAAAAATTTGTTTACTAATGTGGTATTATACTAATGTAAGCGTTTTTAATTGCTAAAAAAAAATAATGTACTAAAATGTAAATATGTAAATAAATAATTTGCTTTAATGTAAAATATTAATACATACATATGTATAAGTATATAATATATAATCGCGCATTTATTTGTATTGAGTAAAAAATGAAAAGAATAATATCAAAAGGTTAAGAATTCTTAGTTTTTTTGTTTTTTTAATTTGAAAAGTCTGGTAAGCCTTAAACATAAATCTGAAATAAAACTAAAAAAAATTTGACATGTTTCATATACATATGTACATTTGCATACTTTTTCATCTGACATAATCGTATTGTATTATATCTTTTAGCAACATGTATATAAATACGAGTATATATATATTATATATAATACTATAGGTGAACTATTAAAATAAACTTTATTGTACGACGTGTAAAATAAATGCAAAATGCATT